TTGTGTTGAACCCCTCTAGTGAATTTTCCATTTTCATTATTGTGCTTCTCATCTCCAGAATCTATGTTCCATTTTTTATATGCTTATTTATTATTATGGTAAAAATATAACAAAATTTACCCTTTTACTTATTTTCAGTGTAATTCAGTGACATTAAGTACATTTACAGTGTTCTGCAAACATTACCTCTCTCCATTTCTAGAATTTTTTCATCATCCCAGAAAGAAACTCTGTACCCATTAAGCAGTAACTTCCCAATCCACACTCTTTCCAGTTCCTGTTAACATCTGTTTAACTTTTCTCTATAAATTTTCTGCTTCTGTGTAGCTCAGATAAGTGGAACAATACATTAACCTTTTTTTGAGTCTGGTTAATTTAACTTAGTGTAATGCTTTCAAGGCTCATCACTGTTGTAGTGTATATCAGAACTCTATTCCTTTTCAAAGCTGAATAATATTTTATTGTACATTTACACTGTATCTTGCTTATCTTTTTACCTATTGATAAATATTTAGATGTTTTCACCTTTGACTATTGTAAATAGTGCTGCTATGAACTTGTCTGTAAGTATTTGAATCCCTGGTTTCAATTCTTTGGGTATAGACCTAGAAGTGGAATTAATAGAATATGTGGCAATTCTATGTTTCACTTCTTCAGGAACTGTCATACTTTTCCACGGTGGCTGTTGGAGTCCGTTTTATAATTTTTACTTCTTTATTGATACTCTCATTTAGTTCATGCATTGTTTTCCTGATTTCCTTCAGTCTTTGTCCAGGTTTTCCTTTGGCTTTTTGAGCATATTTAGTATAATTGTTGGAGAAGGCAATGGCACCCCACTCCAGTACTCTTGCCTGGAAAATCCCATGGATCGAGGAGCCTGATAGGCTGCAGTCCATGGGGTCGCTAAGAGTCGGATATGACTGAGCGACTTCACTTTCACTTTTCACTTTCATGCGCTGGAGAAGGAAATGGCAACCGACTCCAGTGTTCTTGCCTGGAGAATCCCAGGGGCGGGGGAGCCTGGTGGGCTGCCGTCTATGGGGTCGCACAGAGTCAGACACGACTGAAGCTTCTTAGCAGCAGCAGCAGTATAATTGTTCTATGATCTTTATATATTACTCCAAAGTTTGGGCTTCCTGAGGGAAGGTTTCTTAATGTTTATTTTGTTCTTTTACAGGGGATATGTTTCCCTATTTCTTTGTATTCCTTGTGGGATTTTGGGGGGTTGATTTTGTTGTTGTTGAAAACTGGAAATTTGTGATTCATAATGTGGTAACCCTGGAAATCAGGTCTCCATCTTCATGTTTATTTGTTCGTTTGTTTGTCTTTGATTGTTGAAGGCTATAGTAGCCCATTTGTTTAGTGAATTTCTTAAACTATAGTTTCAAAGGATGTATTTCTTGTCTTCTGTGGTCACTGAAGTCTGTTCCTTGTGTTAAGCTAGAATTTTAACTGAGGTTCTTTGAACACCAGAAGCTAAAAAGCACACATCCTAGTCCTTGCAGGATCTGTGAGGGGAACTACTTAAAACACTTAGCTAGGCTTAGCTAGCTTAATGATTGGCTTGAAGTGAAAGCTTAAGGTGTTTCATATCTTTTCTGAGCATGAGTTTTGCTGTGGGCATGTGCATGGCTTTCTGTATTCCTCTCATAGATGCTTCTGAATGTCTTAATTTCTTAATGAAACTACATTAACTTTTGTTCCTTGGATTTTGGTATCTGTTTTATGTTTCCTTCATATTTTACCCCCTAAGCATCTGTGAGTTGTTAGCTTGGCTTGCAGTTTTTTTGAGTGATGTCTACTGATTTTCTGCTCTGAGTTCCCAGTTAGGTTGAACTGGGAACAAGTGCGTTGCCACTATTTCATGCAGCTCCCAGATAGTTTGTAACAGACAAACACAGTAATTTTCCAATAAAGTCTGCTCTGCTCCTTCCAGAAGCAGGGTCCAAGGACTTACCCACAAGGAATGCAAGTTTCTTTCTTTTAGGACTTCCACTGTGCTGGTGAGAGAATGAGCAAGGACAAGTAAAAACATCATACATTTTTGCTATCATTTTCCAGTTACCGTTTTCTTGATTCAGTGTTTGATTAGTTATTGTAAATATTTAACTGTTTCACAAAGTTCTAAAAAGTTGGGTTTGACAGTTTTTGCTTGTCAGTTGTTTCTGTAGGGGGATGGGAACTTTGAGCTGCAGTCTAGACTGATGTTGAGAGGTTTTCACAAATGTGACTACCAAGTGTTCTGAAAATATGTCTGGATCCATTTTGATTGGCTATTTCTAAGGTAAGAACAAAGTTTTACTGAGAATTCAACTTCAAATTTAATCTTGATGTAACTTTCTTTTTCTAATTCACGGTAGCTTGTGGCAGAATGTACATGTGCCTTTTCAGAAATGTATTCAATAATCAAATTACAGAAAAGATTAATATTTGAACCTTATGTATTAATTTTTTGTAATATATTTTTAAACTTCCTTAGTAAACTTTCATTGCTTGTTTGGCCACACTGCATGACTGTGGGATTCTAGTTCTCCTACCAGGGACGGAGCCTGGACCACAGCAATGAAAGTACCAAGTCCTAACTACTGGACTGCCAGAGAACTCCCCAAATTCATTGTTTTTACAACTATTTTTAATATCTTTAATATCAAAGTATCTTTGATTAGTACTAGTATCTTTAATAGCAAACTCAGTTAACTTATGGGTCCCAAATTTTCACAGTACATGAGTCAGGAAACTACCACCATGGGACATACCTGGCCTACCATCTCGTTTTGTGAAATCTGTGAATTAAGGATGGTTTTATAATTTGTTTAATTACTGAAAAAAACAAAAGATGTTTTGTGATGTAAACATTTTAAAATTCAAATTTTACTTTTCATAAACTGAATTTACAGCCATATTCACTTGTTCATACATTAACTATGGTTGCTTCTGTGCTAGAAAGGCATAATGTAATAGTTCTGACAGAGACCATTATACCCTCCAAAAGTATGATGTTCACTAGCCCTTTATGTAAAAGATTTGCCAACCTCTGTATTAGTACAGCAGAAATGGAATAAAAAACCTGAGAAATTATTCCCAAGCTTTATGGATTTAAAAAATATTTTTCAGTATCAAAAGTTCATTATTTATAGAAATTTAAGCTACTACAGATTTTATCAGGTAATATGCATTTCCTTCAACTCAGTCCTTGATATTTTTAGTATCTTTTCTAATATTAGCTAAACAGCTACAAAGTTTATACAACACATGACATGTAATAGAAACTTTTCTGGATTAAGGTTTTTCCTAGAACTTAAATTTATGAATAATTTAAATCACTTTTTTCATAATTTTGACAGCTTCAAGAATTCTGAACTTTATGCTTCTTTTTCTACCTCAGTTGGAGAAAATTGGAAATTTCTTTTATCATTAAAAACTTATCAGAGAGTACATTACTCTTACATGTTAAATCTTTAATTCGAGAAGTATGTAAATCAGAGTGTCTTTGAATCAGATTGCTAAAGATTTGCTTATTTCCTTATCAACTTTTGAAAACATGGATGAGAGCTTTGATTAAAAATAATTTACAGTAAAACTTTTTTATGTTAAAAGACAAGCTGAAAGCATGGTATTTCTAAAGTTGGGGACAATCAATGGTTTGTTTGGATGCCATTTATAAGGATACACTCAACTGTCAATTTATGCACACTGGTAGAATTAGTTCTGAAAATAGTTTTCATCTGGACTGCCAATCATTTCTTATCAACTATCATTTTTTAAAAGATCTACATCTATAGTGTACATGATTTTGTATGAGCTTTGAGATCAAATAATTTAAAAGAAATTATTATAAATAGAATAAATGATGAATTGAGTATCTTCATCATCACTGGAATATAAAAATTCTTTATAATTACATTTTTTCCTCTGGAACTATCTGTCATAGCCTCACTGACTAAATTTATTAAAGGAAATCCAATTGTGTAAAACAAAATTTTCTCAGATGCTTCTGCTTTAATGCTGGCTACTGTCAAGAATATTATATAGAGAAAAGAGAAGATATCACATTTTCTGAAAATGTATCAGTCAGCACTGGAATAGTGGGATAGTTAATGGTGATGACTGACATTCTTTATTGTTTGGTCCACCTTTTGGATCTTTTAAAAAAGACGTTTAGAACCCAGGAGCAAACATGCTGAATACATTTGGATCCATATCACAAAGTAGCAAGTTAATTGCTTTAAAAAAATTTCCTTTATCACTCACTGTACTAGTGACCCATCTTGTTAAGTTTTCCTCTGTACCTTTTATGTTCTTACAAATAGAATGTTGAGAGCTGTGTTCCTATAAGGTGTCTATATAAAGAATTTAGTAACTTTACTGATCAGCAATTTGTTTATTGATGGTATTTTATCCACAAACGTACCTTGTCTGAAAGGGTTTTTAAGGAGAGGGGTCATCCTATGTATATATAATATTTTATCCACAGTGATTCTTTACTTCTTGATGGTTCTTTATCAATAGTTACATATTTTTATTTGTGAGGTGTTTTATAAATTGATGAAATTTTACCTGTAGTTGGTAAGAGATACTTCTTATTTGAACATACAAATACATCTTTTATAGTGAACCAATCAGTTTCATATCTGTCAGAGAATTCAGCTTGAGTTTTACCTCAGCTTGCTAACTATTTTGGTGAACATACCCTCTGAAAATTTAATAGGAAAAAATTCAAGTTCATTTTCTAGTGGGTAATGAGGACTGATTGATTTACTTGATATATTTTTTGTCTCTTTATTTTCATGGCATGCATGTAATACCAGCACTCAGCATCTCCTTATACCAAAATTCTAGTCAGAAGCATTGTCAAAATTTTGCTACTCAGGCGTATCTTTCTCTTGCTCTTAATTTTTTCTCAGAGTTATAGGAGCCATCTGATTGGACACTATGTTATGTTTTAAAAAACATTTTATTTTCTAAGGGAAGTAAGCAGAGTAATATCAGGTATAAAAACTTCAGTGCTCATTCTGGTGTGGTAGTGAGGAAGATTTGGAAATATTGGTGTTAATATTTCGAGAAAACACCTTTGACAGAGCTGAAGATACCTTTGCCAGCATTTTAGATCCTTGTTTGGGGACATCAGACCTGGAAGTTTCTGTGGACAAAGCAAAGCAGTATAGATATTTATTAAACATTTTAGTTGAGGCAGTAATACCATAGGATTAATGATTTAGAATTCAGAAATTGACATTTATAAAATAAATTATGGGATTTAAAAAAATATTCACAAAGATTTTGTTGATTTGATCCTTCTAACACCCCTGTGAAGGAAATAGAATGATATCCCCATTTTTGGTTATGAATCTTGATGAAGTCAAAACTGTGCCTATGGTCACGAGAGTAGAAAGGCATCACACTTTGATAGGGTCCAGCTTTCTGACTCTCATGGCATCATCATACCTGCTGTACTCTGATGCTTCTCTAATCCGGTGTTCCAAGAATACCTTTCTTTTTCTAGCAGAAGAACCTCTTAAAAAAGGCTAACGAGCAAAACTCACATAGAGTGTACTGATAACTTTCAACTCTACACAGCGAGACTGTCTATTTCAGAGTGCTCAGTTGAAAATAGAAGTGCATTAAAACTGCTGTTATTTCTCACAACTTTGGGTAAATTTTTAGTTGACTGACTTCAAGTGATTTTTTTTTTTTTGTCATGTGAAAGAAGACTGTATGGATAATAAAGTTTCCATTTGGAATTATTGTTCTGTATCAGTTCTTCAGGGCATGGACTCTTAGAGAATATCATATTAAAATTTAAAAATGAGTATTTTACATGTTAAGACGGAGGTGAATATTTATGTATTTTTATGAAAACTCATGATAGAATGCGATAGGACATGAAAGCACACATAATAGTAAAAGCCCATCTTTTCTTAATTCCAGTACATGCCAGAATTCAAGACTATACCTTTTATAGTTATTAGATTTGTTTTTTCTAGCAAGGTGATCTTCTACGGTTAAAGCTAAAATGTTGTTTAGTCACTAAGTCACGTCTGACTCTTTTGTGACCCCATGTACTGTAACCTGCCAGGCACCTCTGTCCATGGGATTTCCCAGGCAAGAATACTGGAATGGATTGCTATTTCTTTCTCCAGGGGATCTTTCTGACTCAGGGATCGAACCCAGGCCTCCTGCGTCTCCTGCCCTGGCAGACAGATTCTTTATGTCTGACCCACCTGGGAACCCCTTAAAAGCTAACACAGCTAACAGCAAATTTAAAGCTGTCAGACGTGAAAAGTGAAAGTGTTGGTTGCTTAGTCGTGTCCCACTCTTTGTGACCCCATGGACTGTAGCCCGGCAGGCTCCTCTGTTCGTCTAATTCTCCAGGCAGAAATACTGGAGCGGGTTGCCCTCCCCTTCTCCAGGGGCTCTTCCTGACCCAGGGTTCAAACCTGGGTCTCCTGCACTTCAGGCAGATTCTTTATCATCAATCACCAGGGAAGTCCAAGAAAGCCAACGAATAAAGAATAAGAGAAAGTATGTTTAGGTTTTTTGTGCATGCCCAGTTGGTCAGTTGTGTCCGACTCTTTGCAACCCTACAGACTGTGGCCCACCAGGCTCTTCTGTCTGTGGGATTTTTTGTTCAGGCAAGAAAAGTGGAGTGTGTTACCATTTCCTTCTCCAGGGGATTTTACCAACCCAGGGATTGAATCTAGGCCTCCTGAGTCTCCTGCATTGGCAGGCAGATTGTTTACTACTGAGCCGCCTGGGAAGCCTCTGTGTAGATTTTTACCATGCCACTGTTTTTTAAATTATCTAAAAATTAAAAAGGAAGAAGCCAAAATCTGCAGCAAAAAGACAGAAGTATGGATGAAAGAGAAAAATGTACATTATGAAAAGGAAAGATAAAAGTGTTTCTAACATGATTGAGGCATTATGACAAGGCTTCTGAAATTCTCATTGGAGAGGTAAGGGTTAATGTTCTGAAAACTTGGTGGTCTTGTTAAAAATGCATATTTCTGGGCAGCATTACCCCAAGATACTAACTTAACCAGTCAATAGAGGGTCTGGGAATCTTCACTGTCAAAAAGGTATTCTGGGTGGTTCCAGTGTTTTAAAGCAGTTTCTAGAAACACCAAAGACTGCCCAAATCCATATTCTCTACTAGAAGACTGGTGGGTGGCTGGTGTACTAGGTTAATAGCATCATTCCCAGAGTGGTCAGTGAACTCTTGTGTTTATCAATTAATAGTTCTTTTCACAACAAAACTATAAGCTATTTTTGGTCATTACCCACTAAGGACCTAGTTCTGGGATGCAATGGCAACTATATGGATCCACAGTGTAAAGAGAAGACAGAATGTAGGATAAAAGAAAGAAGATATGTTTCTGAACCCTAAAAGCTCTCCATTCGTTGGCTGTATAGCCTCTGATAGTTATTTATCTCCATTTTCTCATTTGTAAATTAGGGTTCTAAGACTTGCAGGGGAAACACTATATGGTGTAGGAAATATAAACAAGTTTTGTCCCATTTATCAGGTGTTTTGAAATTATATCATAAAATCTGAAAGCCAGGATTTTTCACACAAAACTGTCTCTACTTTCTTCTGAAAAAGGCTAATCCCTGAATTAGAAGGCCTGGCAAGAAGCCAGCATGCCAGTGACTGGACCTGAGTAACACAGCTCCCTTCAGATGGGGCATGCCATGGACCCCTGCTCAAACTACTGTTCTTGTTTGTCACCTACTTAGCTCCTGTGATCATTTGAGTATGTCAGCTATGGTCATGCTGAATGAGCTCAGGCTTTGAAGTCTGGCAGATCTGTATTTGAACCCCAGTGTTGTAGCTTACTAGCTTGGGGTGACCTTGAATAACTTATTCTCACTTTCTCTTTAGTAAAATGAAGATAGCTGATGCCTAATCAATGTTAGATCCATTACCTATTACCTCTTCGGTTTAAGAATTGCATAGTAAATTGCAAGTGGAAATAATATCTTAATATTTATATATAATATTTGTATTTTTATATATAGCAATCTCATACTGATAACATGCATCAAAACTGCAAAGGAGAAACTACTCATTTTAGAAGTAATGTTAAAAGCATAACGTATTTTGTACCTGAAATGCCTTCTTTTGAGGGATTCACACTGTGAAGAATATTCTTGTTTCCTTCAAAAATGGTGATAAACTGCAAGACAAGGCAAAGTACTGATTCAACCTTTTGTTAGATACTACATACTAGAGATATCTAAAAATCCTCAAGAGAGGTAGTATAATCATTATAGCATTTTATATGACTTCTGTGTTCTGCAGTTACAATTATTCTCTGAGACTCATACATTTTGCCAATTATATGGCTAGGACTGACCCTTATCATAGATATGAACCTTGACTACCAAATATTTGAAGGCTCAGGTATCATAAGAGACAAAAAAATGTCAGCTTTGTCTCTCCCTCCTCCTCTTTGAGATAAATTGCAATGAGTAGTAAGTTACAGATTATTTTCTGATAATAAAGATAAGAGAAGGAAATAGATGTTTATTACATAACTCTTAACTTCCTTTTATGGAAGGAAAGCTGTTTCGAAAGAGAAGTCAAGTGGCTGTGTGGATTTAGAGCAGGGAACATGGCTCAGATACTAACTTTATTCCATAGGACTTTATCACATCTTTGAATGCAAAAGAAGCAATTTCCCCAGAAAGGCATGAAATAGCCTGGGACAGGTAGCAAGATTTCATTGTAGCTATTCTAGAAAGCTAGTAATTTAAAAAGGAAATAAGTCAATAAAGTAAGGCTAAATATATGTAACACAAAATGCCTTGTGTATAGATTATGCAAAGACCACCAGATATTAATGAGTTCTACCACAGTTCCTCCAAGAAGATCTGAGGCAGAGTTTGAGATATTTTGAACAGGATGCTTGAAGAATAAAATGGAGCAGAGACTGTGTAAAGAACTTATTCTCAGCATTGGCTGCAAAGTAGAATTATCTATGAAATTTTTTTTTTGTTTAAATATGAATCCCTGGGTCCCATACCACCATGGAATTGAAGTCCCTGAGGGTGGGGCAGATACTGATACTAAAGAAAAACACATGACTAATGTGTGAGAATCAGAGTTGATAATACCTAGTCTATAAGGAGGAGGCAGATGCTACCATGTGTCTCAGGTGAATAAAATAACTTAGGTTCTGCTAAGAACTTCCAGCATTACATTAGATTCAAGAGTATCTGCTGTTACTTCATGAAACATTGTTAACATAATCTTTTTAATAAAAATTTATAGGTTCTTTAAAAAAATTTATTGTAGTTGTTTTACAATGTTAGCGTTTACTATGTAGCTAAGTGAATCAGCAATACCTGGATCCCCTCTTTTTTGGATTTCTTTTTTCCCCATTTAGGTCACCAGAGAGCACTGAGTTCCCTGTGCTATAGAGTAGGTTCTCATTAGTCATCTATTTTATACATAGTAGTGTATGTACGGCAGTTCAAATCTCCCAATTCATCTCAACCCTCACTTCCCTGCCACCCTTGGTAACCATAAATTTGTTCTCTACATCTGTGTCTCTATTTCTGCTCTGCAGATATTTTCATCTGTACCATTTTTCTAAATTCACATGTAAGTGATATTATACAATATTTGTTTTCCTCTCATATTTACTTCACTCTGTATGACAATCTCTAGGTCTATCCATGTCTCTACAAATGACCCAATTTCATTCCTTTATATGGCTGAGTGATATTCCACTGTATATATGTTCCACATTGTCTTTATCCACCTCTCTGTTGATGAACATTTAGGTTATTTCCATGTCACATCTATTTTAAACAGTGCTGCAATGAACATTGGGGTGCATGTGTCTTTTGATCATGGCCATTCTGACTGGTGTGAGGTGATACCTCGTGGATTTGACTTGCATTTCTCTAATAATTAGTGATGTTGAACATCTTTTCATGTGTTTGTTGGCCAACTGTATGTCTTCTTTGGAGAAATGTCTATTTAGGTCTTCTTTCCATTTTTTGGTTGCATTATTTCTTTGATATTGAGCTACATGAAGTGTTTGTACATTAAGGAGGTTAATCCTTTGTCAATTGCTTTGCAAATATTTTCTTCCATTCTTAGGGTTGTCTTTTTGTCTTATTTATGGTTTCCTTTGCTGTGCAAAAGTTTTTAAATTTAGTTGGGTCCTATTTGATCTTTTTGACTCACCTCCTAGAATAATGACAATGAAAACAAAAATAAATCAATGAAGCCTAATTAAATTTAATATCACTTAAAGTTTTTATTTGAAAATTTAAAAATATTGCCTATGTTGGAGTTGGCATCTTTGTCCTTTCCCTTTAAAGTTATAGACACTGTCTTAGTTCTTTGTATATTGAGTAATATTGTATTGTATCCTGACCATTTTGAACAATTTATATGATTCTAAGAACTGTTAAAATTCTCTGTAGAGGGTTAATTTTTTTTTAAGGTAGTTAATTAACCCATTAAAGTTCAGAACACATATCTTCCCTTGTCTTCTGTGACTGTGGTTCCAATGTAAATTTAGTTTTCAGAGTCTTGGCAGTATTTTTTAGTGTGTATCTCTATTAAGACTGTAGTTCAATTTCTCATAGCCTTTGTCTATAGAACCTCAAGTCAGTTCCTTGCCTACACATCTCAGGAGACACTTTATAAAAAGAGACTGGGAGGGGCTCCTTTTTCATGTCCCTCTTTGATTTCAGTGTCTGTGATTCTCAGCAGTCCCCTATTCCGACTCTATGTTTAGAATGCCATGGCTCTAGCCTTCCTGTGGGCTGTCTCATACATCCCATGATGGTATCAATGTCCAGGGTAAAGTAACAAAAGAAGGCAGAGAAAAACATAGCAGGTTTCCCCCTAGTGTTCTTCATGTTGCTGGAGACTAATTCCTCTGGTCAGAGAGAAATATTTTCTCTCAGTCTTAAGCACCTCACAGCTTCATTGCCACTGTTGTGCAGGTTCATGGCTAAAACTTCCCTTCAGACAGGGCAGAAGAAGGGGAAAAAGTGTTCAGTGAAAAGTGAGCTTCCCTACTTTCCATTTCACAGGTACTTCTTCCTAATTCTGGTAAGAGAGCCATGGTTTCTCTTGGAGCTTTCTTATTTTATCCATTCCCTCTATGTAATTACAGGATTTGAACTGCCCTGGGTCTATGCTAGGAGATGTGAGAGGAAAAAACACATGAAACTCATAATGGTTTTGGAGTTCTGATCTCCTGCCTCAAACTACTGACTTACTTGCTTTTCAGTACCCTCAGTAGTTGTCTAGAGAGTTTTTAATCAGTGAGACACACAATTGGAATGTGCTTTACTTTACCTTACTCAGAACTGGGCTGAATAAAAACTTTAAGCATAATTTTACCATGGAAAAGTGTTAAGAAAGGAAAGAGGTCAAGAGCCAAAAGGGTGCAGACTAGCCAGCAGTTCAGTCTGGCACAAGGAATGGCCTGTTAATCAGGTCCTTGGACTAGAGATTGTCTCCATTTTAGTGACATATGATTTTACTTGGAAAATATGGCCTAAGTGAAGCCTGAGGTTGTCAAACAGATGTTTAAGTTTAAAAATGAATATTAGGTTGAGTGAGGAACTAACCCAACATCTTTAGAGATGTGGTAAAAGTTATCTTAAGTATGAGTTGTAAGATTTGACTCTGAAAATTACTCTGGTAATGAGAAGTGACTGGATAATCAATGGATTGTCTGTCATGGGGTTGGGGAGATTTGCTTAAAAATAGGATTAAATTATCCAAGAAACAACCACAACATAAGAGGATTTGTTAGCTTGAGGATTCATTGGAAAGTTTCTAAAAAGGATTAGGAAGCAGGACACTTTCTGAGTTTACACTGGAGCATAGCTCGGTCTCCTGGAAAACTGTCTTCAGGCAGTCAGTCCTTAGGAATGCAGAGAAATAGATGGAATCAGCATTATTTCTTATAACCTGCTCTCTTCCATTTTTGAAGCTTCTGTTTCTTCCCTGCCTCCACCAAACCCCTCACTTGGGTCTACTTGCCCTAAGAAGGGCCACGTGACGCATTCCTTCTCAGATTTCCTCCACTGACCGTGGTAACAGAGTTAAGGAATGGAATTGCTTTCAGGTGCTAAGAAGGAACAGTGGCTTATCCTGTGCCCTTACGCAAGGAATGATAGCTTAAGGCTAAGGTGAGAATTGACGGATTTCTTGGGTACCATGGACAAGTCTTAGCCTGGAGGAGAGATTTGAGCATGAAGAAATTGCAAATAGGGGAATACTTCCTGTGCCCCTCAAACAGCACCACACAGTCATTGATTTGACCTTGAAAAATAAAATATACTCAAATGGCCTCATATATTCTAATTAGAGGCTATAGAAAAAAATACTTACCTTAACACTATTTGAATTTTCTGGCATTTGTTCCTGAGAACTTGCTGTGGAGAGGAAGAAAAAAACAGGAAAAAAATAGTATTCTTTCTGAGGCACAAATAATATTGACACAAACCTCATCTTTTGTTCTTCACTGAAAAGTCATAATTAGGCTAATAGAAGAAATTGTTTTAGTGTCTTGACAATGTGAACAAAACTGAAATAGGTGAGATCCTTAGATGTATGTGGCATATTTTAGCCCTTCTTTTAGGAATTATGAAAGATGAAGTGTGATGTCATAGGAAAGACAGATTCTATAACTTAATAACTATAAATCTATGAATGACCATTCAATCCCCATGTGCCTCTTTATTATTTAGTTTGCATGTAAAATAAGAAGTTACCCTATACGCGATTCCTTAAGGGCCTTTCCAATTTTAGCGCTCTTTGATTTTACATAGCTAATTAAGAGCAGACAATTGGAACAAAGAGGAAGTTTATCATAAGAGCTAGTCTTATGAAAGATTCTGAGTGAGAATGAGGAGAATTTTGAGACAATGCCGAGAGGAAACCTGGTGGAGGTGCTGCACAACTGAAAGTTGCCTAACTTCAGGGGAAGCCAAGACACCAGTTAAAAAATTCAACCCAACGAGGTAGACATGATACCATGAGATAAGTTTCACAAAGACCCATCACTAAGATGGCAGTGCACCTACTAGGGCATCAGAAAACCTGAGTTTAAGTCTTAGCTTCACTACTTAGAGCTGTGTGGATACCAGTGAATTTAATGTGACTTCTCTCCCAGTTTCCTCCCCTTTGTAGACTGTCAATGAGACTATTTTCCTGTCTCTGTCTTAAGAAGACTTAATATCTCATGTATAAAAAACTATGCATTTTATAGACATGTACTCATCAAGAGTCAACACATGTTTGTTAGGATCAATTTAGGTTCTGGGGGAAAAAAAAACAGTAGCAAGACCTCAGTTAATTCAAGAGAAGAGCTCATTAATTATCTGACTTACCTGACAAGGTTGGCAAAATTTCACTGATGGTTAATAATATCTCTAAATTATCTAACTCTATATTGCACATAACTGAACTGACTTTTAATGACTGAGAACATTTGGATTTACTACCATGGCTATCATTCCAAACACTAGTTTTTATGTTTCTAGGTTAGGTGACTATCAACTTTCCAGGATGTACTAGGAATTTGTTTTGATGAAAAGTCACAGAAAAATTCCTGCTAGTTTAGGATCCTAGGATATTCAGATTGAAGTTATTTGAGATTTCCTTCTATATTCTATATAAAACTATAAACTAAAATTAAGAATATTTTATAGTGTATATGAAAACTATAAACTAAAATGTTCAACCTTAATCTTGTCATTCAACTCAAGATTTAAATATCCTATGGCTTATGTGACATCTCAACTTTAATATCTTAACATATTCAAAACAGAATTCTTATGCACTCTCTTTAGTTAGTCCCATAGTCTCTCTTATTTACTGCCACCTCCTACTATAAGCTTGTTTTAGTCCCTTGGGGATATGGCTGTGATCTTCATGGAGCTTATATTCTAGAAGGAGATAGTGAAAAAAACAAATACAAAGTCTGTCATGCAGTAATAAGAGCTAGGGAGAAAACAAAGCAAAGAAGTGGAATATGCAGTGCCATCTTGAAAATGAGGTTACAATTTCAAAGAGTGTGGTCCAAGAAGACTTCACTGAGAAGGTGACATCTGAGTTTCAGAAGGTGAAGAATAAACAATGTAGATACAGGAGGAAGAGCACTACATGAGGATTAGCAAGTGGACAGATTCTGAATTCCTGGAATGTTTAAGGACTAGAGAAGGTCAGTGAGGCTAGGACAGGGTGAGCCAGAAAGGGAAACCGAGGAGGTGATAATAGGGGTTTGGGTTGATGTCCAGATGACGTAAGGTTTTGCATGCCACTGTAATTTCTTTGGTTTTTGTTTCAGATGGGATGGGAAATATTTATACCTGTAATTATCTTTGCTGCTCTGCCTCAAGTTACAAGGTAAATTCTATGATGTTGAGGACTTTATCAGTCATATTCAAATATGGGATTTTAGAACACAAAGGAGGTGCTCAGTGAATTTCTGAATTAATGAATTGGACAGCTTCAATATTACTGAAGGATTTAAGAATTAAGCTTGATCATTGTAATGAAGTTGGAATAAACAAAACACTGAATTTAGGGTCATAAGACTTGGGATCTAGACTGGCTCTGCCTGTGACTTAAAGTAACCTTGGACAAGTCACTTCCTCATCCTGAGCTTGAATTTCCTCATGTAAACAATGAAGGAAGTTATATTAAGTGATTTTTGTCTGACTCTAAACAGCCTAGGATTCCATAATACAGGTATCATACAGTGATTATTTTGACACCAGGTTATAGTATGTTTATAGAATTCTGGTGTACTTACTGTTATTTTATGAACCATCTTAATAAAAATGATTTCCTCTTTCAAGTTGAAAGAATATGTTTCTTTTTTTGTTTGTTTGTTTTTTCATTTATTTTTATTAGTTGGAGGCTAATTACTTTACAATATTGTAGTGGTTTTTGTCATACATTGACATGAATCAGCCATGGATTTATATGTATTCCCCATCCCGGTCCCCCCTCCCACCTCCCTCTCCACCCGATCCCTCTGGGTCTTCGCAGTGCACCAGGCCCGAGCACTTGTCTCATGCATCCAACCTAGGCTGGTGATCTGTTTCACCCTAAATAATATGCATGTTTCGATGCTGTTCCCTCGAAACATCCCACCCTCGCCTTCTCCCACAGAGTCCAAAAGTCTGTTCTGTACATCTGTGTCTCTTTTTCTGTTTTGCATAAAGGGTTATCATTACCATTTTTCTAAATTCCATATATGTTTCTTAAGTAACACCTTGAGTGAGCTGTATGTTCAAAATACCCAGGGTAAACGTGTGGTTCAGATTTAAAGGCCACTTTATATAAATTCTTGGACATGCTACCACTGTTAGAACCATATTAATTACCTGAGGTTTCAACAAATAGAGTGCTAGACAGTCCTCACACAAATACTCTAAGCACTCAATATAATTATAGGTTGAAAAAAAGAAAACCAAAAAAACTAAGTGAGGTCCATACTGCTGCTGCTGCTAAGTCACTTTAGTCGTGTCCGACTCTGTGTGACCCCATAGACGGCAGCCCACCAGGCTCTCCCATCCCTGGGATTCTCCAGGCAAGAACACTGGAGTGGGTTGCCATTTCCTTCTCCAGAGGTCCATACTAGCCACATTTAAATATAAGCATATGAATTTAGCTCTAAAGGCCCTTTTCAGGGGTACATTTTGATTTGGTTAAGCACAAAGAAAGGATAAGTTCTCAAATAAATTGTTAAATCCTAGTATCATGGTTTCTGGTTCAGCTAGAAACTATGATATGCACACTGATTTTGTGGATATTTCTCACAGGAGCATGGTAAACATAAATTCATTTATCACATCATATTCTTGACCAAAATCATTAGTAATAACATAAAATAGTTCACTTATTTTAACACCTGCATGATATAGTACTGGATCTTTTCTAAAGGTAGATCAGCTCATAGGAAAAAGTAGTATCAACTTAAGGCTTGATAACTTAAAAAAACTGATCAGAGCAGTAGAGTATCCTTCTGAATAGTTTCTACTTTAAATTAAGAAAAAGAATAAATCCAAACCTTCCAATATTTTAGTTCTCTCTGCAGTATAATCTTCAGTTTCACTAAAACAGAAGAGAAAAAGAACATTTCATTTTTTTGTGTATTTAATGAATCAAGAAATTACTGGTTAAGTAAAATCACAATCTGTCCTCATTCTCTATACAGCGGTAAACCTGGAATAATGTATCACTGAGTTTCCAAGTCAAAAGCAGACTATTTCTAAATTGACTTTCTTCCCACTTTTAAAATTCTGGTTAAATACACATAAAATTTATCATCTTAACCATTTTTAAGTGTACAGTTTTATCCTTGAGTACATTCACATTATTGTGCAACTATCACCATCATCCATCTCTGGAACTTGTTCATTTCCCCAGAATCTGAAACTCTGTACTCATAAATTCTAATTCATAAATACTAACACTGTACATCCCTCTCTCTCCATCCCCTGGAACCCATATTTTACCTTATGCCTATGTGATCTGACTAGTTAGGTATCTCCTATAAGTGGAATCATAAATTTGCTATTTTGTGACATTTAGCATAATATCTTTAAGGTGACATGTCCCTGTCAGGATGCCCTTCCTTTCTAAAACTGAGAAATATTCTATTGAAATTATGTACTATATTTTGCTGATCCATTCATCCATCAGTGGGCTCCTGTGTTACTTCCAAGATTTGGTTATTGTGAATAATGATGCTATGAATATAAATATAAAAATATTTGTTTGAGTCCATGTTTTCAGTTCTTTGGAGTATATACACAGAAGCAGAACTGCAGATCATATGGTAACTGTGTTTAATTTTTTTTTTTTTATAAAGTCTCATACTGTTTTCAATAGTGCCTGTATCATTTTAAGTTTCCAGTGCTTTGGGTGAGGGTTCTGATTTCTTCACATTCTTGCCAACATGTTATTTTATGGAAAAAAATATTGTTTTTTGATTATAGTTATCCTCATGGGTGTGAAAGAGCATCTCATTGTGATTTTGATTTGCATTTCCCTAATGATCAGTGATGTTGAGGATCTTTTTACCTGCTTATTGCCCATTTATACATCCTCTTTGAGGAAGTATCTATTCAAGCTGCCCTTTGCCTAATTTTTTAATCAGGTTGTTTTTTGTTTTTATTGAGTTATAGGAGTTCTTTATATATTCTGAATAGTATTTCCTTATCAGATATATGACTTGCAATTATATTCCCCCATTCTATGTGCTAACATTTTACTTTCCTTTGAAGCGCAAAATTTTCTAATTTTGGTACAGTCAAACTTATCTAATTTTTTCTTATTTATTTTTAAAATTTTTTTCTTACTGCTTGTACTTTTAGTATCATATCCAAGAAATTATTACTAAATCCAATGTCATGGACCTTCCCTATATGTTTTTTTACAAGAATTCTACAGTTTACTTAGGTGTCTTTGACCCATTTGAATTAGTTTTTCTACATAGTATAAGGTAAAGGTCTACTTCATTTTTGTGTGTGGTTACCTAGTTTTCCCAATGCCATCTGTTGAAAAGATGTTTTTCTCCATTTAATGGTCTTGGGATGCTTATCAAAAAGTATTTGATGATATATTAAGGATCTGTTCTGGGTTATTTATTTTATTCCATTGGTCTACATATCTGTCTTTATGTCAGCACCACATTGCTTTGATTACCATGATTCTGTAATAAGTTTTATAATCAGGAGTCCAAGTTTGTTCTTTCTTTTCAGGATTGTTTTGGCTACTGGGAGTCCTTTGAGATACCATATAAATATTCAAATGTATTTTTTCTTTTTCTGCAAAAAGTCAGAATTTTTATAAGGATTCCATTTAATCTGCACAATCCTTTGGGTATTATTGAAATCTTAACAGAATATTTCCATTAATTTGTGTCTTTTAAAATTTCCTCCCGGTATGTTTTTCAGTTTTCACTGGAGTATAGAAATGCAATGGTTTTCTTCTGGGTTGATTCTATATCTAGCAACTTTGATTAACTCATATATTTCTTTTAAAAGTATTTTTTTTTGGTATGGTATTGTAGGTTTTCTACATATAAGATAATATCATCTATGAGCAGAGCTCATTTTAATTCTCTTCCAATTTAGATACCTTTTATTCCTTGCCTAATTGTTCTGGCTAGGACTTCTGGTAATATATAGCAGAAGGGATGACAGTGTCAACTATTGTTGAATAAAACTGGAGAGAGTAGACATCCTTGTCTTCTTTCTGATCTTAGAGGAAATGCTTTCAGCTTTTCATGGTTATATATAATGTTAGCTGTAGGTTTGTCAGATATTACCTTTATTATGTTGAAGAATGAAATCCCTCATTTGCTCCACTGCTGCATTCCTTCCTATTAGTTGAGGTTTTGCAGAGACACATTTTGATTCCTTTTTTGTTTCCTTTCATGTATATTTTATAGTTATTTTCTTTGTTGTTAACATGGAGAGAACATATAACATCTTAAAGTTATGATAATTAAGTTGATATCAGTTTAACCTCAGTTGCATACAAAAGCTCTACTCATCGATAGATCAACCGCCATCCCTTTGTTACTGCTGTCCCAAATTATGGCTTTATATAAATTCCGTTTAGTCTCTGGGCTTCCCTGGTGGCTCAGATAGTAAAGAATCCACCTAAAATTATTATAATATTGGTTTTTACATTTGTCCATATATTTAACTTTACTAGAGAATTTAAAATTTTCATATGGCTTTGAGTTACCATCCAACATCCTTTAGTTTCAATTTGAAGAACTTGTGTTAACATTTCTTGCATTTCATTTTCTATTTTATAATGTTCTGATTTCTCTTTCATTTTGAAGGGTATTTTTTACTGGTAATAAAGTTCTCACATGACAGTTTTCTATTTTAGCCCTTTAAATATATAATCTACTGCCTTCCATCCTGCAAGCTTTCCTCTGAAAGTTTTACTGACAGTTTTATGGAGATCTCTTGTACGAGCAATTTCTATGGTGCTACTTGAAGATTCTCTTTTGTCTTTAGCTTTTAGTGGTTGTGATTATGCCTCAGGTAGTCTCTGTGTACTTACGTTACTTAAAATTCACTGAACTTATTATTTGTATATTCATGCTTTTTCAAATTTGAGGAGGTTTTAGCCCTATTTCCCAAAATAATCCCCTTGCCCTTTTCCTCTCTTTTCTCTGGAACTCACCATAGTGTCTGTGTGTGGGTGTGTGTGTATTGGTATGCTTGATGATATCCCTTAAGTTCCATAGAATCTGTTCACTCTTTTTTTCAGCCTCTTCTTTTTGCTTGTCAGACTCAATAATTTCAAGTGACTTGTGTTCAAATTCACTGATTATTTCTTCTGCTTGATTGTGACTGCTTTTGAGCCCATCTAGTGAATTTTACAATTTAGTTGCTATATTTTTCAGTTACAGAATTTATTTCTGACCAGTTCCTTTTTTAACAGGTTTTAATCTCTTAATTTTTATTTATATGATTTTTTTGGTATACTTTTCCTTTGACTTCCTTTAGTTCTTTGTATTTCATTTATTTTAAAATCTTTGTTATATATGTCCATTTGGTGTGCTTCTCCATGGACATTTTCTGAGGATTTGGTTTCTTAAAAATGTGCCAAATTTTCTTGTTTCTTAGTATACATTGTGATCTTATGATGGAATTTGAGCATTTAAAGAAACAGTTATCTCTTCCAGCTTTTGGAGATTGGTGTAGAAACCCTTCACTAATTAGCAGAATGAGGAACCTTGGCAACAGACGGAGGTAAAGCCTTCAGGTGTTCATTTTGTTCTGGGCCTATGTATGTACTTTTGTTTTTCCTTCTTCACTTTTCCCTACCTGCTGTTAAATGTTTTGTTTCCTAAGAGTATCATCATGTTTCTTCTCAGTTTAGTGCAGTCGCTCAGTCGTGTCTGACTCTTTACAACCCCATGGACTGCAGCATGCCGGGCCTCCCTGTCCAACACCAACTCCTGTAGCTTGCTCAAACTCATGTCCATCGAGTTGGTGATGCCATGCAACCATCTCCTTCTCTGTCATCCCCTTCTCCTCCTGCCTTCAATCTTTCCCAGCATCAGGGCTTTTCCAATGAGTCAGTTCTTTGCTTCAGGTGGCCAAAGTATTGGGAGTTTCAGCTTCAGTATCTGTCCTTCCAATGAATGTTCAGGACTGATTTCTTTATGATTGACTGGCTTGATCTCCTTGCAGTCCAAGGGGCTCTTGAGAGTTGTCTCCAACATCACAGTTCAAAAGAACCAATTATTCAGGCTCGGCTTTCTTTGTAGGCCAACTCTCACATCCATACATGACCACTGGAAAAACCATAGCTTTGACTAGACGGACCTTTGTCAGCAAAGCAATGTCTCTTTTTAACATGCTGCCCCGCTGGTCATAGCTTTTCTTCCAAGGAGCAAGCGTCTTTTAATTTCATGGCTGCAGTCACCATCTGCAGTGATTTTGGAGTCCAAGAAAATAAAGTCAGCCACTGTTTCCACTGTTTCCCCATCTATTTGCCATGAAGTGATGGGACCAGATGCCATGATCTTAGTTTTCTGAATGTTGAATTTTAAGCCAGCTTTTTCACTCTCCTCTTTCACTTTCATCAAGAGGCTCTTTAGTTCTTTTCACTTTCTGCCATAAGGATGGTGTCATCTGCATGTCTGAGGTCTCTTCTCAGAGCCTTAGCTATTCTGCTGTTTTGCTCTATCTGTAGTCTCTTGCCTTCAGGTGTCTGTGCATCTGTAGTCCCTTGTGATTTCCATGCACCATGGCATCCATCTACTGACTTCTGTGGCTTCTAGGCTTAGATCCAAACTATGCCATCATTCCCAATCTGTGCTTCTTCAGGTGAGACAGAAATAGTCTCTCAGGTAGTCCACAGATAGATCTGAACATTGCAAATAAATTCCAATCTGTTCTTCCCACTCTAAGAGAAAAAACTGAGAATTGGACCATTTCTTCCCAACTATGCCACATCATGTTGCAGAAGGGGGTTGGGCAATGATAAGAAAAGTCTGTGGAATTTCCTGCCACGTTGAATGTGGCCTTTCTTTGGGCATTCCCTTGGTTGATGCTGTTATTTGATTGGTTTCTAGAGCTCTTGTGAAGTTGTTTTATCAGTCTGTAGTTATTTTTGTTTCTACAAGAAGATAAGGGTTTGCATTTTCTTGGCCTGCTAGCTTGCTCTAAATTGACTTTTATTCGGTATTATCTGTGCCCTCTGTCTTCATTGATATAAATAGTAGAGGGGTACCTGCATTACTATTTTGTCTGTTGATACAATCAATCATTATTTAGGAACAAGAGGCAATAATCTGGCAAGGAACAAATGTCCCAAAATAGTGTGTCAAAAAGAACTGTATCATGATGTGTGGGGAAAAATTATAACCAGGTGGATTTTTCTATTTATACCTATTGCTTCTCCCACACTAGAAATACTTCTGTTTCTAGGTTATGAATACTCTTATAAACTTAAGAATAATTTTAGGCAACTTCTGTTCTAGATATAGTTTCTAATTAGATTTCAAGTCTGTTGCTTTTGTTCAGTCACCCAGATGTTTCTGATTCTTTGCAACCCAATGGACTGCAGCACGTCAGACCTCCCTGTCCCCCACCATCTCCTGGAGTTTGCCCAAGTTCATGTCCATTGCATCGGTGATGCCATCAAGTCATCTCATCATCTGACACCCTCTTCTTCTGCCCTCAGTATTTCCCAGTATCAGGGACTTTTCCAAAGTATTGGCTCTTCACATCAGGTGACCAAAATACTGGAGCTTCAGCTTCAGCATCAGCATTTGTACTTCAGCATCTTCCAATTTGTACTCAGGGTTGATTTCCTTTAAGATCAACTAGTTTGATCAACTTGCTGTACAAGGGACTCTCAGGAGTCTTCTCCAGCACCACAGTTTGAAGACATCAATCTTTTGGCGCTCTGCCTTCTTTACGGTTCAGTTCTCACAACCGTATGGGACCACTGGGAAGACCATAGCCTTGAGTATATAGACCTTTGTTGGCAGAGTAATGTCTCTGCTTTTCAACACACTGTCTCTGTTTGTCAAAGCTTTCCTGCCAAGAAGCAATCATCTTCTGATTTCATGGCTGCAGTAACCATCACAGTGATTTTAGAGGCCAAGAAGAGGAAATCTGTCACTGCTTCCACTTTTTCGCCTTCTATTTGCCATAAAGTAATGGGGCTGGATGCCATGATCTTAGTCCTTAATATTTAGTTTTGAGCTGACTCTTTCACTTTCTTCCTTCCTTCTCATCAAGAGGTTCTTTAGTTGCTCCTTGCTTTCTGAGATTAGAGTGGAATCATCTGTGTATCTGAGGTTGTTGATGTTTCTCCCTCCTATCCTGATTCCAGCGTGTAACTCATCCAGCCCAGCATTTCTCACGATGCGCTCAGCGTCTAAGTTAATAAGCAGGGTGACGACAGGCAGCCGTGGTGTACTCCTTTCTCAGCCCTGAACCAATCAGTTGTTTCGTACCAGGCTCTCACTGTTGCGTCTTGACTCACATACAGGTTTCTCAGGAAATAGGGAAAATGGTCTGGTGTTCCCATCTCTTTAAGAGTTTTCCACACTTTGTTATGATCCACACAGTCAAAGGCTTTAGTGTAGTCAAAACAGAGGTAGATGTTTTTCTGGAATTCCCTTGCTTTCTCTATGGTTCAGTGAATGTTGGCAATCTGATCTCACAGCTACACAGTTCAGACGTTGCTCTGATAATCATCCAAACTTGGGTTGCCTTTTCATATAAACGCTGTCTATCTATGCAGACCCACATCAAACTACATTGTTTTCTAGAATTCATCTCTGAATGCTCCAACTTACACTGTTCCCTGTCTTATTTGGATTCTTATTTGGATTCATACATACTGGAACATTTAATTACTTAAAGAGAGTTGAGTAGGAACCCTTTGGGCTGAAAGGCACTGGGTCGCATTCGTATCTGCACTATCTTCCAGATTAAAAAAACAAAACAAAACCGTAACACACTAGCAAATTCTTAATTCAAGACACTGTTAGACTAGGAAGAATGTAGAAGGCAGGTAACTAGGAATGGGGCATCAGATAGAATGAAAAGGCCTTAGAGAATGAGCACAGTGGAGACGTAGGGGAGGAAAGGACAAGAAGGAGTGAAGGAAGTTGTAGGGTTGAATACTTCCCCAATCAAGTTTTACCAGGGACTTCATTCTTCCCAGAAGCATTACCCTCATCTCAGATTGCTATTTTATATTGCTTTAATTTCATATACCTGGCATATGAAATCAGATCTTCTTGGTTGTATGAAGATGAACTCATAATTCTGTGTATGAAGTAATGTGTCGGCTCAGTAATAAGAATTTTTTCTTCTTTCTGGAAAAAATGCAAGCCATGTATTACATTTGATATGCACTGTATCATACACTTGGCATTTTTCTCCCCATTTAACATATACTATAATTAGAAAAAGTTTCAGAGATTACTTAAAAATAGATGGAACCTATAGTTCTAATTAAAATGTCTTTTTCCAATATTGGTTTTAGGAAATGGCTAGTGAAAGGTTCTAGATGATAACGTTGAAGGTTGAGTAAATGCTAAAGATAAACATAGCACAAAGTTTGATGTATATGGTTTTCTAATTCTATACTTTACAGGTATTTTATGAAAACTTAGTTCAAAAAGAACAGAGATACAACTTTGGTCAGTTCAGAAGCTTGTCAACTCAATCATGTGAACCTGTACTCTGATCTGTTTGTTGGGAAGTCATGTGTGACTTTAAGGCCATAACTTTTATAAGTTATTTTTATAACTTTTATAGTGTTGTGTCTATTATAATCTTGAAAAAATAGACTACTATTACTGGGATTACTGCTTATATAATCCATTTTTACTTTTGTTAATGTTATAACAATTATTTAGTTATCTGTGAAGCCAGTACTTCTGAATATGAGGCTCAAGAAAACTATTCTGCAGGCTGCATCTAGTCATGTAATCACATTGATTCCCAAAAAATAGTTCAGAGTATGTGTTAAGATGATTTACCTGGGACGCTTTTGAACTGAACAGAGTTGTATCTGTTGTTTCTGGTTCATCTCAGCTTTTGTGTTAACCTGGGAATCATGTCAAATGGATAATCAATAGGATTATCCCACCTGGAAACCCTAAATCATATATACTTTTCAAAAACATACTTTGGTATACATTTTTGAACAGGAACCACCCAAAGAGTCACTTAAGTTCAAACCATTATGTGAGGCACTTGGTACTAGGGATTAAAGTTGTTCTCCATGAATACAGAGGAGTTTATGGGCTGATTGCAAGGGTGATATTTAAAATATTTTGATTAACTTGTTAACTCTGGGCAAGTTGGTTAAGTAACACGTAGGAAAAAAAATGCTATGTAACTTCCCCAAAAGATGCATAGCTATGAAAGATGGGATTCAAACCCAGACAATCTGAAGTTGTACTTCTTCTTTTTTTTAAGTTACCTCCTACCTCGACCCATCTTCTGGTCCTGCCCTACTTGTTGAAAATGTATTTACCAGTCAAAATATAAAAGGGATGAAATCTTCTAAAATACAAAAATAATTAACTTTCATTTATCTTAAATAGCTTCCTTTTCTGTCATCCTTGGTTTTTATTCTATGTCTGTTTCCATTATCTGCTTTCCTTCAATTGTGTTCTATGCATGTTGTAAATATTTTTAGAAAAGTTGCTTTCATTTTGTAAATTTTTCTTGTATACTTTATACATTTCTTGCATACTGTAAATGTTGCCAGACTTAGGAAGAGACTATCTGGAACCATTTTAGTATTTTTTTCTACTCAGTTAATGGGTGCATTCTTGGGCAGAATCTCTTAAAACCTCTACTCTTTCCACAAACATCTGGTTATTGAGAGTTATGGTTCTCACTCACCTTACTCTGTGACTTTTCCTCCCAAGTAGAATTTGTTTCAGTGAAGGTTCCTGAGCAGGGAGGCATGTCAAGTTCAGCAACAGTTCTTTTAATTTGTTCCTTCTTAGGTTCTATGACATGATTTGACATTGCTCCAGTATTTTCCACATTTGCGCTGGGCTGACAACATTTACTTAGTGAAAAAAACTTTTTCAGACTGCTTGTGCTTTGTGTTGGCTTGGGAGAAACAGCTTTGCTTTCTACTGGCTTTGTGGAATCTTTCACTTGATCTTCAGTATTTTCTCCTGAGTGTTCTTGTACAATCTCTCTTAAAACAACTTCATCTTCATCAGATGAAGTTAGTTCCTCTTCTATGGTACTTTCTGAGACTTCTTGTTCAATATCATGAGCTACTAACCGAAGGATAAGTTCTTTTTTGCTCTGAACATCTTTTAAAAGCTCCACTTTGGTGATATCAGGCTTTCTTATATTCTGAAATGAATTTCTGCAAACAGCCTAGAATTGAAGGTATAATGAATATCAGAAACAAATGCCTCAATCACTATTCCTGTGATTCTGTTATAAAAGAGCTATTTCAGTATGATTTCTAGTTTTAATGTAAAATAATATCTTCAGATGCTATGCTTACATTAGCAATATTTTAAAGAAGAAACATGAAAATTGTAAGAAATATTTGTTGGTATCATTTCTTTTACATTCAGGGATTGTATGTAATCTATCATACCATTTTATTAATCTACCATCATTTAGAGCTTAATGAAGGACTAACACAGGTTCTTCTTTGTCTCTTTTTGCTTAAACTTTGTATCTTGTTGCATCATGTATACTTTTTTTGATTTTTTTTACTTTGGAAGTTTGTGAGAGAAGTAGACATGATGATATATTTTTCTAAAAGTGTAGATAGGTTATCAAAGAGAAACTGAAATATACATATTTTTAATAGGAAAGCAATGTATTATCTGCTCTTGATTTTTAAAAATGATGAATGACCAAGATTGTGAAAGTCTCTGACTCTTTAATCTCTATTATTCCACTCTTGATTCTTTGGATATATTTTCCAAAAGAATCTTCAAAACATAAGTCTTCGTTTCTCCCTCACCTCCCTAGACAAATCTCACCTTTCATTTTCAATGTCTAAAGACAGATCTAAATGTCTAAAGAAAAGACAATTATAATTGAGTAATATAACATCCCCATTTCAGTAGCCTTTGATGATGCCACAGAACCTCCAAATTGTTCCTAATCCTAGACCTCAACATTCCTTTGGAACACTGCAAGCCAATTTTTAAAATATTGGTACCAGAAAAGAATATTTTCTATGGAAACAAAATACACAAAGAGTCTCCTTAAGAACTTAAAACACAATCAGTTTTGATTTTCTGTGTTATTGGCGGGGGTGGGGTGGGGCAGTGGTTTAGAAAATCCAAAATCATTCTATATGGCTTTGAAATGTTACTATATAATATGTACATTCCTAGTGTGTTAGGAATTTATGGTATCTCAAAACAGAAACTAAAGGCCTGGGGCACAGCCAACAAATACCTAGATTCTCTCCTCTAATCTACTGTCTTTTTGTCCCTGTGCAGGAGATTGATAGCATGGATACCCAGACTGGTTCAAATCATGTCTTATCAGAGTTGTCTAGGTCTGCTTCTTTATTTGTGCTTTATTTTTTGGATGAATTTTCTCCCCCTTAAAAGGAAAATGGCCATTATTTTCATTTAAATATTCTCTTCCTGCTTTCTGTGGTCTATAAATGACTTAATGAAAGAGAATGGGTAACCAAGAGTGAGATTTGTGACAGACAATTCTACATATAATTAAAAACTATTTTTCAGCAATGTTATTCTATGTCTTTTAACACAAATTTTACTAAGGGGTTACATATATATATATATATATATATATGTATGAAGACTACCCAAAAATATGCTAATACAAATGATGAGAATCCATGTAAGGAGTAACTTTTAGATCTTAAAAAGCCAGTCATCTGGTTCAAAAAAGTTAAGGCCAAGATTAAATAAGTATGTTTTTCCATAATAACCTCAGTACTTGGATATGAAAACATAAGTGCCAATTAACATATTTAACAGCCTTGATACTTAGTTCAATGGGTTGCAGGACAGTGCTGGAGAAAATTTAATTCAAGTGTCTGCTCCAGGGAGAAGAGTTCTATAAAACTTGGCTCATTGTGCAAACATAGATTATACCCCTAAGCACACTCATTCCTCTTATGAGAGAACACAATCAGTACAAGGGGCTCTGATAAAAATGTGTAGATTAGTGTAATTCCATTGGCCACACCATCCTTTGTCCTCAGTTGTATAGTTTCCTTCTAACAAGGACATCATTTTTGCATTTTAAAGTTTCCACTACTTTAATACATTTGGGGCCTAAATATGGAACTGCACAGCAGAATTAGGGACTAAAACACTAAAACAAGAGGAAACAGATTCATAAATATGGAAATATTAAAGCAGCTAAATCTAGAAGAAGGACAAGAAGAAACTTGACACTTCTTGAGATTACAGAAGAACCTGAGGAAGACTATTACAGTGAAATAATAAGAAACTAGTATAATCTAAGAGTTTGTATTCTGACGTGTGTTGACAAATGTTGCTAAAAGTACAAAGAGTAGTATTACTGCTGTAGATCCTTATATTTGAGAAACCTATTTTAGATAGTTTTATTATTATTTTAGTCAGCACGATTCTGCTGTCAAGAGTGTGTGTGTGTGCGTGTATGTGTTTGTATGAGAGTTGCTCAGTCATGTCCAACTCTTTGTGACCCCATGGACTATAGCCTGCCAGGCTCCTCTGTCCATGGAATTCTTCAGGCAAGAATACTGGGGTGGGTTGCCATGCCCTTCTTCAGGGGATCTTCCTGACCCAGGGATTGAAACCCGATCTCCTGAACTGCAGGCAGATTCTTCATCCTCTGAGCCACCCGGGAAGGCTGGTCAAGGGTATATCCCTGTATTCTCATTTTTTTTTTTTTTTAAGTTTACATTGATTGTCTTAGGAAAGCTAGCCTGAGACTTTTAGAATCTGGTGTGGCAAGTCCCAGTAAGTCATACAACGATAGAAATAAACTTGTGCCACCAATTTTCCTATTGGGCTGGACAATAACAGCAACAAAAGACACATTCTCATATATCAATCTGAGGAACAGAACAGAACAACCATTTCTCTTTTTTTTTTTTTTGCTATTCCTTTTATACTTACCTCAAAGGGTTTTATATCTAGTCGTCCTGTCTGAGTCAATGAGGTCCTTCTCTCTCTCTTCAACTCTCTTACAGTAAATGTGCTTGAAGGATAACTTCTTCCACTTACTGATGCTCTTCTCAGTTCTGCTATGCTATGTCCGGTATTCTTTAAACATTCCGTCTGAAGTTTCTCAAGGGGTTGAGTTTTTATAGAAATTACTGCTAAGTGTTCTGAGATAATGTTTGGATCTATTTTGAGGGGTTTATTCCCAACATGTGGAACTATTTTAATTGTAGAGTCCTCTACAATTGAATATTTAGTTAATTCTTTATCTAAGTCAGGAATCATGTTAACAGCATGCTCTTGTGCCTTTTGAACAATTCTGTTAATGTCTAGATCTCCAAAGAAACCAGCATTTGAATTCTTTGGACTAACTGAATCAAAGGGAAAATTTGAAACTTCATTAATAATTAAATTAGCCACTTTTTTAGGGAAAACTCTGTTTGTACTTTTTATATCATGATAAAGATCCTTTTGCGTTCCAGATTGTTGTAGTACATTACTATAAATAGAATCAATAACCTGAGAAACCATTTCTATACTTTCTGGATTTAGAAAGTGTTCTTCAGAATCAGCAGCAACAAGATTAATATTACTTTTTGAAATTTCAGCTGTCACAGATTTTGTCAGTTGAGATGCAATTTTATTTAATTCAGGCTTTGACAAGTTTTTTGTATGTTGGCTTGAGCCACTTGGCAACCTTATTATTTTAGCCAAGAACAAGGCCAGTGCTTCCTCTAAAAATATGGCATCTAACATAGAACCTTTTTTGGATGAAGACTTTTCCTGGGACTTAAATTCATCAACCATTTTGACTACTTTTTCCATAATTTTAACAGCTTCCAGAGCTAATTCTGGATCTGATAATTCTTCCTGCACTTGAGGTTGAAATTTAGATTTGGAAATTTCTTTCACCATTAAAAACCCTATTACATCAGAGAGGACATTACTCTTACCCATTAAATCTTTAAATATAGAAGTGAGTGAGCCAGAGTGTTTTAAAATGCTGGTATAAACAGAATTAACTACTTTTTCAATAGCTTCATTATCAGCTAAAGGTGCAGTAGGTATTTCCTTTGCCAGTGATACAACTTTAATCTTATTTTTGGAGATAATTTCTTGTATTGAATTTAATATCTTTGATGTTACTTTTTGCATTTCAGTTTCTAGGGATTTGGGTCTTTCCTTATCGACCTTTGGAAACACAGATAGAAGCTTCGATAAAAATTTTACAGCAATTTCTTCTATTATGTTATAAGGCAGTATACGCGCCTGCGATGGATGAGGCTGGGGAATATCAGCTGTTTGGATCACATCTTTAAGAATATTTTCAACAACACTGTCAATTTCTGCACACTGATACGGTGTTAGCTCTCCAGAAAAGTAGTTCTGCAACTGATTGCCAGTCACTTCTCGTCGAATTAAGTCAACTATGGTTTCTGAAAGAATTCTACATCCACTGGCTGCACAATTTTGTATACTCTCTTGTGACCCAAATTGTGACAAGAGATTATCATAGAGTCCATGAACCACTAATTGAATAATTTCATCATCATTGGGATGTAAGGATTCCACATACTGTATAATCATATCTTCATCTTTGGAGATCTCTGTTGTAACTGTACTTAATAACTTCATTTGAAGGAAATCCAGTTCTGTAAACCAGCTGCCCTCAAATGTTTCTGCTTTGGTGTTTGATACTGTTGAGAAAATTTTAGATAAAAGAGTAGAAATCACATTCTCTAAAAATTCATGAGGCAGCATGATGGTATATGGTGATGATGTCTGACATTCTTTGCTGGCTGTTTGAGCCACTTTTTGGACCTTTTTAACAACATCCTTAGTTTCCAGAGGCAAACATGACAAAGCTGGAAACTCATCACACAATATCAAATTAAGCTTATGTTGAAAAATTTCATTTATCATTGCACTTGTTAGTCTTCTTGCTAAATTTCCCCCATTACTCTTTATATTCTTACAGATGGAATCTTGAGATTTATATTCCTTCAAAATATTGCACACAGAGGCATGGACAACTTTGTTGACCAATGTTTTATCAATTGATGACATTTTATCTAAAAAAAGTATCTTATTTGAAGAGGGTTTTTCAGTCATTGTGTGACTCTTATCCACAGTTATTCTCTTAACAGTGCATGGTGCTTCATCTGTATTTGATTCTTTATGCCTGGGATATTCCTTAGGAACTGATGACACTTTATCTGCAGATGGAAAAAACTGATATTCTTTATCTGGCCTAAATACCTTAATTTGAGCATCAGAAAACTCCTTTAACAGGGAATCAATAAGTCTCATAGCTGTGTCATAGAGTTCAGTTTGATTTTCATCATCACATACATTTTGACATCTATCATATGTTTGTGTTTCTGTTGAGGAAGAAAAGACCAATTTGCTAACCATTTCAGTAATAACATCTTCTAAAAATTTAGCAGGGAAAACTCCAGGTTCACATTTTGGTGGGTACTGAGGACTGTCTGGTTTACTAGGTTCCTTTTTAATATCCTTAACTTTCACTCTGTCATTTTCTCTTTTCCCCCCTCTCTCCTTCTCCCTCTCTTTTTCTATTTTGCTTGCATTCTCTTTTTCTTCTTTCTCTTTGGCAGGGAGATTTTTGTTGGCTGACAGGGATAAATTCTTTGTTAAAACAGACTGTGCAAAATCCTTGCCAACCTCTTGAGTTACAGGCAATGCTTGAGTTATAGGTGATGCTGAATGACTTGGAAGACTTTGTTGTTTTAAATAATCTGCTGATTCTTGAGAATGGTACATTCTGAAGATATTGTCATAAATATTTTCAGTGACACTTTGGACTAATTCATAATCTGAGTACTGTCCTTCCTTTGTGTCTATTTGAGCTGAAGAGTCTTTCTTCTCCTCATCGTTTGGCTTCCGGGTAACTGCTTCTGAAGGTTTCTCTATTGTGTTCTCTGTATTTCTCACTTTGGCTATCAAAGAAGATGACTGAAGGGGGTTGTCTTCTGTTTTTAATGAACTTTCTGTTTTGTCAACCTTCTTCTCATTGTCTGTTTTAAAATCTAGTTGAAAGATTTCCCTTTCACCATCAGTAGCTACTAGAAGTTGTGTGTGTACCACCTTACCTTGCCCCTCCTTATCTGAAGCTAATATTCTTTTCTTGTCAGTTTCATTATTTTCAAGTGTTCCCTTCAAATATGGCTTCCCTTTATCTTTAGTTTTCACACTAGTAGTTGGACAAGTAACTTTTGATACATTGTATTTTTGAATTGGAATTCCCATTTTGTTTTTATTCTCTTTATTTGCCACACCTGCAGCTGGCCCTAACAGGTTAACTATGTTGCTTTTCATAATACTAGTTACAGAGGTAAGGACTGGATCTTGGATATCACCTGTTTTCACTGATGTCTCCTTAGTTTCGAAACTTTTCTTTTTGCTCATTGCACCTTTATCTACTTCCAAAGTATCCAACACATTTTTCTGGTCTGAAGTTAGAGACCCGTGTTTACATGACTGTTCTGGTAAAGTAAGTTGATTCTCTTTTAAGCATCTGTTTATCTGTGTAGAAGTTTGCTGTGGAAGGTGTTTAACCCTTTGAGTGATGTTATCTGCATTTAGAAATGAAAAGAAAGTAGACCAGTCTCCTGAAAAAAGTGGTTGAATCTTGAAAGCAGAGATTGCCTTCTGGGCTAAAGTAGCAATCATTTCTATAACAATGTTATTTTTACCATTCTTCTGAATATCATTAGATCCATACGTTCCTATGAATTGATCATACACAAAATCGGATATCTTATCAACTGTCTCTTTATCAACTGGTGGAAAAGAAAACATTTCTTCAGCATTTGGCAGAACTTTAATTTCACTTTTCCTAAATTCTCCTGTCAGAGAGTTTGCAAATTTTATAGCCAAGCTCACAACATCTGGCTCTGGTTTTTCTTTCTTCTTAATCTCTTCAGTAATACTTGGAAGAGAATAAAATTTGCGAACAAGGTCAACAATTACATCTTCCAAAAATGTAGCTGAATATAGAGAAGGCTGTGTCTTTTTCTTACCAGGTATAGTATGTACAGAGACATGGTCATAATTAGATAAGCTATTGGAAGATGATTCTTCACCATGTAAAAATGGCTGCAGATGATGATCCATGATTTCCTTCATAATGAAACCAGCTATTTTACTGAGGAATGAGCCTCCACTTTTGTCTGCATCTTTCTGGACCTCAGCTTGAAATTCAGATTTTTTCAAAATATTATTACATATAGAGTTAATCAAATCTTCAATCACTTCTAATTGCACACTTCCTGCATTCTCCTCTGCCGTAGCAAGACGGATCTCATGTTCAGAAATTTCTCTGATGATTTCATCAGTTAGTTTTGATGCTGCATCCATGAACTCATAATCTGAAACCTCTTCCTCTTTTAGTTCACTTTCAGTGTCAGTCAAAGGGAAGATATGCACTAGAAGCTTGTAAATCATATCTTCTAAAAGAGAACGTGGCAACACAGTAATACATGATGGTAAGGCATGGCTATCTCTCATGATGACATTGAGTACATTTCTGATGATTTTATCAGCTTGAGGAGAAGAATAGGAAGAAGATATTGATTCTCCTGAAACTAATGACTTTACCTGGCAGTCATAAATTTCTTCCAAAAGGAAATTATATATTTTTCTTCCAAAACAAGCAGTGTCACTTTGCATAGCCCTATATATTTGAATCAGAGATTTATATTCATCTAATATTTTTTTATAAGTAAGGTTCACTGTTCTTTGAACCATTTCTTTATATTCTTCTGAAAAACACATATCAGCATCAAAGCTATCTGCAAGAAAAATCTCTGATGTGGTGAACTCCAGAACAATTGATTTTACTAATGTTGTAACAATGCCAGTAACTTTGGCATTTACTGTATCTGGGTTTTCAGCAGCCAAGACATTGTGTGAGAATGCATAAAGGAGTTTACATAAAAGTTCAGAAATTACTTCTTCCAAAAAGATAGCTGAGTTCATGATGAAGGACGACTCTTCTTCTTTAGGATCTAATACTTTCTGTTTATAAGTCTGATCAACTGCAGCTGAAAGGAGAGTTTTATCTCCAGATAAAAATGACTGAAGATGATGGTTAAAGATTTCTTTTATTATAAAACTTGCTATTTTTGAAACAGGTATATTACGTATATCTTTTTTATCTTTTGTAAGAGATTGGTATATACTTGAATAGGAAAGAGCAGAATAAATGGAATCAACCATGGATTGGATATCTTTTTCTGAAATCATACTATGTTTTTCATTCCCATGTTTAATAATACATACTGCATGTTTTGAAATTATTGACATGATTTCATTTATCAGTTTTATGACTGGATTACTTAAGTCTGATTGAGAAGTATCTGGGTGTTCTGTACTGGAGGCAAATGGACTCATCTGAGATATAAGCTGAGACACAATTTTTTCCAAATGAGTATGTGATAACATAGTAGTATATATTGTTGAAGCCTGTCTTTGGGATCTTGATTTAGTAATGTCATGGTGAACTTTCCTTATCAAAATATCAGTACTAAGTTTGGCTTGTGACCCAAATGGAAGCTTTTCTCTAAGATTCGGATGAATTTGGAAATCAGAGGTTTCTGACAGGATGATTTTAGTTATCTTTGCAGCCAGTGTCTTTGTGTCACTTAGAAAATTTTTATCAGGCATTATTTCCATTTCATATTCTTGTACAACTTTGCTGTACACTGTGTCAATAATGTTTTTGACTATATCTCTCTCTACTGGAGGCAAACACAAATTTTTCTCTGCATTCTCTAAAATGCTAACTTTAGCTTTTGAGAATTCCTCTGTTATGAAATGTATGAGTTTTTCAACTTTATCAAATAGTTCATCTTCTGAATCTCTTATGGATTTTGTTTGTACAATGCCTAACCCCCTGTGGAATATTTTGCTTAAAACCCCAGAAATCACATCTTCCAAAAAAGCTGAGGTATACACACTGGCATAAAACCACTGCCTTCTCTCATCGCCCAAATACATGTATGATGAAGAAGGTAATGACTTTCCATCCACAAATGGCTGAAGATGTTGTTGACAGACATATTTAATGATAAAACCTGCTATCCTGTCAATAAGAACATCATTACTACTTATGATACTTGGTTCAACTGATTCTTGAGACTCAGAGTTTAAAATATTTTTGAATACTGAGTCCACAAGATGACGGATATCATCTTCTGAATAAAGAAACTTGGTTTCTTCTTCATCTTTTGAGAATCGAATTTCATGTTGGGAAATTTTCCTTCGAATATCACTGATTATATCTGAAGCAATTTCATTGAAATTAGCTTTTGACCTATCTTTTGGAGTTTCTCTGTTTGCAACAATGCTATGTGCAGAGGGAAAAATTCTAGATAATAGTACTCTGATTATGTCTTCTAAAAATGTGTATGGCAGCAAGGTGTTATATGGAGATAAACTCTGACTTGGCTTGGTTGATCCACTGATGTTCCTAAGAATGTCTTGAACAACATTGTCAGTTGTTGGAGAATATGAAGATGACAAATTCCCAGAAAACAGTGGATGAAGAAGGTAATCTGAAATAGCTGCTACAACTAAGTTGGTAATTTTTTCCATAAAAATACTGCTGTCTTCAGACTCTTTATCAAACTCAGGATCTAATCCACACTGTTTTAAAACATTTCTATAAACTGAGGTGACCAGTTCGTCCACAATATCTGTATCCACAGAGGGGTAAGACTGTTCTTTGTCATTATATAGAAGGTGAACTTTAGCTTTTTCAAAATGATTATTTACTGAGTTTACAATTTTTTGGGTCATGTTTTCCAGCTCAATTTCAGTGTTATGCTTTGGACTGAAAATTTTTGACAAAAGTCTGGCAACAATTTCCCTTACAAATGTCTCAGGGTAAATACCTGGAGCTAATGGTGTCTGGGGTCTATGTAACTCTATGACTTCATTGAGAACTTGTTTAACCATATTTGATATTGCATCTGAAGGAGTCTTTGGACGAGGTAAACCTTCTCCACACAAAAATGGCTGAAGGTGATTCTCAATAATCTCTTGGATAATAAAACCGGCTATTTGGTCAACCAAAACCGGGCTTCGGCTGAGTATACTTTTCTGTATTGAAATAAGAGAGTCATATGTTTGCATAATATTTCTATAAACAGAATCCACCATCTTCTGGAGGCTTTTTCCTTTACACAGATATTGATTATCATATATAGTGAACCAAATTTTATGTTTTGAAATGGCTGATTTAACCTTATTTATTATACAGGTAGACATCTCATTAAAATCTGAACTCATGAAATAACTTTTTTCCAAAGAGGAATCTTTATTGGGTGGAGGAATGAGTTGAGATAAAAGTCTTCTGATGATATCTTCTAAAAATGATTGTGATAACATGGTGCTATAGTCTGTTAAAGACCTAGGTTTGGAAGTAAATTCTCTCAGGTTATTTTGAAGTTTCTGTAATATAATTTCAGCATTGAGAGGGTAATATAAATTGTGTAAGAGCTTTTCCCTGAAGCAAGTTGGGAGTTGGTAGTCCAAAATCTCTAACAATATGCTATTAGTTATTTGTTCTGCTATTGAAGTACTGTCACATGCCAGATTACCACCACAGGCCACTTTTGATTTATATTGCTGTAAAACACCATAATAAACTGAGTCAACAATCCTACTAACAGTTTCTTTATGGATTGGTGGAAAACAGAGCCTTTCTTCAGAATTCCGTAAAACAGTGACCCTTGCCTTATTAAACTCATTCACTACACTGTTGACAAATACTGTATTCATCTCATGGAGCTGGGCATCCAAGATGTTTTCATTTTTGCCCAACAGTGAAATAGAGAGATTAAAAAACAGTTCTGAAATTATATCCTCTAAAAATGTGGCTGAATAAACACCTGTATTCATATCTCCTGGATATTGTTTATTATGGATGGCAATTGTATTCATATCCTTTGTTCCCTGTCTTTTAAGAGGTGGCACATCAGCAAAATTTACTGAATACTTCTTGCCAAATGGTGCTTGTATTTTGGAACTATCTACACTGGGATTATTCAGGGGTCCTGTCAAAGCATGGACATAATAATTCATGGGTCCTAAAGAGCCTCTACCTTTTTCCAATTTTGTTAATTCTGGCCTTTTTGCTTTTATAAAACTAGATTGTATTTCTCTTGTTCCATACTTCAAATGCTTGTTTGCAAAAGGTGGACTTTGGGGGAGTTGTATACCATGACATAGTTTATCCATCAACGATTTAACCAAGCTGTGGGAGATAACAGTAAGCATAGAGTCTGATGACAATAAATCCTGATCCATTTTTGCCAGATTTTCCAAAATGTCTGACATATAATCCCCTTGAAATTGTTCACAGTCCATTTCTCCATTACAGTAGTCAAATTCTTCATCTACACTTTGAAGTATTTTTAAAAGTTGACATTCTTCTGCTGATACCTCTTCAGAAAGAGGGCAATTATCAAGAAAGACAGAGTTTGTGCATTTTTCTAAAAGTGTTCTGATTAGTTTCTCACATACAACATTGAGAAGGAAAACTGATTTAGGGGAGAGCCCTAAGTTATTTCCAAGTATGTTATTACACTGCCCTTCATATGATGACGAGAAAAATGTTCTTGCTTTTATTTCAGAATCCATAGCTTCATCTGGCTGTTCATCTGGTAAAAACAAATCTAAAACAATACTGAAAACTCTGTTGACTATTTCTTTGGATTCATGAGTTTTTAGGCTACCAGTCAGACTATCTAACTTATGTGCCAAATAATTTAATTTATTTTTTTGAATGATATGATCAATTTGGTGAGTAGCTAATCCCCAGTCTCTGGAACCTTTCTGTCTTTGCATGGTATTTCTTCTGTTGCAAATGGGCACACTATTGCTTCTAAGCATGGGAAATGGTCTGTTTCTTCTACTGTTTTCAAGGTGATGGTTTAACCCTATTTCTTTGGACAGTACATGAATCACACCTATTAAGAGGTCCTGAAAGAGATCATCAAAGTCAGAAGCACCTACTCCTGGGCAGTAAATGTACTTTCTTGTTAATGAAAACATTTGCTGTGCAGTGTCAGTCTTTATGATGTTACTATTTAACAGGATTTCAGTGATGATTTCAGAGATACTTAGAGCAAGTTCTCCAACAGAAATTGACCTACTCTTAAACACTTGAGAATCAATTGAAATAATAGTGTCAAATGCGGCATTTTGTCTTTCCGATGTTTTCTCTTTTTCTCTAATATCTGTGGTGCTGCCAGAAATGCTTGACATTAAATGGTAAATGACAGACTCAGTGAGATGTTCACAAAAATGATAAAGTGAAGAATCACTATATATGCTTCTTAGAGGTGATTTTGATTCATATTTTTTCCTTGACAGTGTGGAAACAATAGACACTTTCTCACTGGAAACTTAAAAAAGAAAACATTACCATTTTAGTATGCATTAAGGGACATATGGAAAATTCAGTATTTTGATAATTACTTATGCATGAATTTCATCTTTGGAACACCTCACTAAAAAAAAAAAAAACAATCTAGTCAAGAAAAATACTGGGTTTTCTTCAGATACTTATTTCCCACCTGTGGAATCTTAATTTTAGCCATAAAGTTGAGAAAATAACCCTGAAGAATTCAAATATCTAAGTCTACTGCTGGTATCTGTTTGCTTAGATGGTTAAGGTGCTCTAAAGAGCTGGAATTCCTGGGGCAGAGAAATGACTTCCAAGTGTAGTGTAGTGTTATATCTTAACAAGTGCACAGTGATCTCTGTGGAATCAGGCAAGGTTAGCGGAGAGTGGAGGCTTTAAGCTGAACTTTGACAGTTAGATGGATTTTAGATATCTTGAGGTGAAGGAACTAAGGAAATGGAGCTCCACATGGAAGGAGCATGAGTGACATCACTGAAAAACCCTGGACATGTCTGGGAATAGAGAAGAGACATGACAGAAAGAAGGGGCTAGTGGTAAAGAATCTGATCTGCCAAGGCAGTAGACACAGGTTTGATCCCTGGGTCAGGAAGATCCCCTGGAGAAGGAAATGGCAACCCACTCCAGTATTCTTGCCTGGAAAATTCCATGGACGGAGGAGCCACAGTCCATGGGGTCACAAAGAGTCACAGTCAACCTTGTGACTAAATCACCACAGAGACAAATGCCAATGGGATGGGATTACGAATCTTATCTTCTCCTGTTTTGTTTTTCTTTATTCTCTAACTTCAATTAGGCTGTGCTTGAAGAAATTCTACTTTATAAGCTTGGAATTGCAGACTCACCCAACTGTCCACCTTGAAATAATACCAGTTTTAATTACAGGAAATGGCCTCATTGTACAAGTAGTTAGGACTGATAATATGTGTTCTACTATTTCAATGATGGTTAAGTGATGTATCTAGACTGGGGAAGTAGCAATGAATTACTGGCAACTAGAATTAATAATCCAGCTCAAGGCTATAATAGTATTAGATGGAATTTTATGAAACTGCCAATAATTATCAGGTTTGACATAAAGTGGCTATCATATAGTTCAACCAAACATATAGATGTATGCATGCTCAGTCGCTAAGTTGTGTCTGACTCTTTTGCAACCCTGTGAACTGCAGCCTGACAGGCTCCTCTGTCCATGGAATTTTTCCAGGCAAGAATACAAGAGAGGGATACCATTTCCTCCTCCGGGAGAACTTCCTAACCCAGGGATCGAACCCACGTATCCTACGTCTCCTGCATTGGCAGGCAGATTCTTTACCACTGAGCCATCTGAGAAACTAAATATATATAGATAAGTATATCTTCACCCTCCTTTTAAAAAAATGCTTTCAAGGATATGTATAGAGTATTATATCTAAAAGGAATATAATAATACTGGAATACAAACAAAACAAGAGGCTTAATACCACTGTTCTTATAAACTGTGACTAATCATAGCAATGGCTTCAACTGTACACCTTAAAGTTGAAACACAACTTTCAACCAGTTACCTCTATGTTTGGTATAATTATAAAGAAGTCATGCATGAGAACTTTAAAAATGTTTAGAACTCAGACCTCATGTTCAAATCAAAATCTCCTGCTTTTCAATAGTCACATTTTCTCTCATCTGCAGATATGTAAAAATTAGCAATACACCTTTTCAGATTCAAACCATATGAATGTTTAAGTTTTTTTTTTTTTTTAGTACCCTGTTATATTAAGAAGTGATTAAACACCCTCCCTCTAAGGCTGTTTTCAGAAAAACAGTAAATGAAGCTTCTTGAACTGGAGCTCTTTTACATATATTTGATTATTTTCTTTCTAAACTAAGCCCACTCTTACTTACCTCTAGTTTCAAAGTTCTTGAAATATGTGACCACAGATGTGGTGACATGTCTTGATACCAGATGAATTTCATTTGGACCCAGTTCATGGTCAGCAAAAGCAATGACTTCAACTTCCTTCAGAGGCTTTATTTTCAGGTAACTCTTATTTTCCCATTTTTGCAATAAAGAAAAATCTTCCCTTCTGACCTCAGCTTTTTTGTTTTCTTCTTCAAGTATATAGCTGATTCTTTTATCCCACATTCTAAGCAGACTTTTCTCATTCTTTTGTCCTCCAGATGTTATAGACAAAGGGTTTTGCTTTGATATGAAAAATGGTTTCATTGTTTCCGTGCTTTCACTAATGTGTGGTTGATTTGGAAATCCATAGCTTGACAGCACAGTACTGACAATATTTTCTGCAGCTAAACAAATCTTGAGTGGAGAAACACTTGTCTGAATTTGGCTAGGCTCAACAACTGGTTTGGAGATCTCGTAATGAAACACTCTTGGATTTTCACCTTTTCTCATTTCTATAAATGACATTACTTGCTTTAATGCTTTTTCTGTGGATTCATTTGCTTTCTTTAGCAGTTTTTCTAAGACACTCCGTTCGGGGAGGGAGCTATTTCCTTTCACAGCTTGATCAAAATAGCCCAAGTCGGATTCCTTTGGCATAGTGTCTTGCACTTTGTTTCTAGAAGATGAAGGTCTATTCTCTGAATCAGGCCTTCTCATTGGCTCTGAGTTTCTAACTGTGTCTTCTACAGATGCTCTGGAATATGAGGGTAAATTTGATGAAGACTTATACCTTTTTTTCATATTTTCCTCTGAATAAAAACCCAAACCTGGAGCACTGCTTTGTGGAAGATTATTCCCAAAACTTACTTCCTTTAACTTTGACATAGGCATTTTCATATTAGTTGCTAATTCAACCTGGTTAACAATGTAAGTATTTTCTACTCCTTGAAACAAATTTTCCTTGGGAAGGTTTTTGATTAGAGACTCACTGAAATGAGCACACTGGTCCATCAGTGTCCCAATGATCTCACTTGCTGCAGTGTTCTCTTTCACTATGCTGACAGAAGATGGTTCCACTTGGCTTACTTCTTTGTCTAGCTTGTTCTTAATTACACCAAGCATGTTGCAGACAATATTAATAGCATATGTAAGTAATGCTGAATGGAATGAATGAACCTGTAGAAGGGTACTCTGAACATTTTCCTTGGAAACAATAGTACTTGACTTGGATTCATCAGAAAATTTTTTCAGTGGTTGTAACTTTGGCAACATCTTTTTGCTTAATAGTCTTTGTTGGACAGGAAAAAGATTTTCTACAGGCATTTTCACTATTTCAGAAAACGGATATTTAGAGGTATGTTTAAACTGTAAGTCCACAAATGACTCTAACATGTTTAAAACCCGTTCTACAATTTCTTGAACAATTTGGTTGCTAGAGCCCAAAGGACTTTGGTCTTTGGTTTTAGTGTTATATACTGGTACACTGCTGAGGATGTCCTTGGTTGGAAAACCATATTTACTTTTAGTAGTAATGTGTTCTTTCCTATTTGCTGGAGTTTCTTTACCATATAGGGTGGGCATCTGGGACAAAAAGCACAGCTGTAATTTTTCAAACAGCATTTCAACAATTTCCCTTCCAAACATATTAATTTGTGCTTTGGTGTCTTCAGCTCTAGTAGAAGCTCCCTTAAAACAACTATGAAACTGGTTTTCACAGTCATCAAGATGTGGCAGATTTAAAAGCGAAAGAGAACATTCTAATTCTTTTGCTTTTATTGAAATTTCAGTCAAACCATTTTCAGCTATCATCAAGAGCTTACACTTTTCATTTTCCATGTCATTTGATTCAGCTTGCCACTTGTCAAACATTTTTTTAAATATACCTTCTTTAGGAAAAATCTGTTCTAACTGTGAAGAAACATTTTCCAAGTAAAAACAGGCTTGTGGTTTGGCAAGAGACTTTGCACCTATATTTCCCTGTGAAAGTTTGGGATCATCCAGATGTGAGAATTTGATAGGATTAGCAGAATTGTGGTTATTGATCACATATAATCCTTGCAAAACTGTATTAACTATTTTATTTGCTGCCATGATTTGATCAGATGGTAAAGCTCTATTGTTTGCCATTGCTCTAGTTCGTGTCACCTTTTCCAATTCTTTAACAGTTGTTTTCAGGATATTACTTATTATATCCTTGGCATACATTTTTAGTTCTGAAGTAGGCAGTTTCATTTCCAGTAAGTTTTTGGCATCTCCTGTTGATAGGACGTGTGGCAGCCTGATATCCGTCTTGGCCCAAACGTCTTTTGGGGTCTTCTCTCCAGGACTTAATTTGGTCCTGCTCTTGGCCTTAGCATGACTAAGTCCTATGTGTGGTTTTGTTCTAAATTTAGGCAAAGGAGTAACTTTTGATCTTGCTTTTAAACTTGTTTTAACACTTGGCTTAGGGCTCACTTTAGAACTGTGTAGTCTTAAAGGTTGCAAGTCATCAGAACAACTTTCAAGGGGCACAGTCCCTTCTAGATAAAATGAGGCAAAATTTGTGATCTTATTGAGAACCACTTGAACTAGATCTTTCCCCACTTGTGATGGTGAATATCGTAAAAAAGTATTTTCCAATAGAGAGATATTTCGACTGTCTGCATAAGGATAAACCTGTGGGAGCACAAATCTAGTGACACTACTTCCTATTCCTGCTTTAGTTTCTTTGATGCATGGTGATTTCTTTGGTAAAATATTTTTGTTAGCTGGTTCTCCTTCATTATTTTCATATAATGATGTCACGATTACAGAGTACACTTTCCCCAAAACATTTTCAATTATGTCACTTGCCGCATTGTTGATATGTGATTGACAGAAGTTGTTTTGTGTTATGTCCGATATTTTAGAGTTAGGTATAAAGTGGGGTATTTCATTAAAGGAAGGCAAATGGCCTATGATTTCTATTATGTTTTTATATACTTTACTTATAACTTCTTCCACTGCACTGAATAATGCAGTTCTTTCTTTCTGTTTTGATTTTTCATTTCTCATAAATATTTCTTCCAAAACAGTTCTTTGGCTTTCCCTTTCCAATGCCATTTGGTTTTGTTCTAACGGATACTTTAAAGACAGAGACTGTTTGGTGTTTTTTTCCTGTGCTCTTTGTCCCAGTGATATTTCATCTGATATGGTTAATTGTGAAAATAAATTAGGATTGTCTTTTGAGTAAAAACTGATTTCCTTTGCAGATCTTTTATTATATAAACTCTTTAAGATATCATTGACAATTTCACTTACAATGGTAATTTCTTGGAATGAGACATTGTTTGGATATGGATGCATCTTTTGGATTTCAAGGTCTAAGTCATTTTTAATAAAATTCAAAATGGCACTGGCAATGATGTCAGAATATTCCTTAAGACTAGCTTGTGATAGATGAATTGCAGATCCAAGTTTTTCTCTGTAACTGGCAAAAGTGGAATCTGTGAGCTCTTGGCTGAGAATAGTTTCATTTGATATTTTCAGAATATTCACATTTGATTCCACCTGGCTTGGTTCATGAAAGATGATGCCATCTTGCTTACAGTTTTCCAGTTCTGGTCTCACAAATGACTTTTTTTTAGGCTGGAAAGCAAGCATAATTAACGAATCTATTCTTTCTGTGGCAAATGATTCTAACCAATTAAAAATACTTTGAGTGATGAAATTAGCACTTTCCTCACATGAATCAGGAACAAATTTCTTGAGGTCTTCTTTCTCTACTATAGTTATCTGGCTATCATTAGCATAAGCTGGTTTAAGAATTTCTGAAGATGGAAAATGCTCTGTTTTTCTTTCACTTTCTGACTCCATAAGAAGAGACTGTTGACACTGTGCTTTTGGAAATGTATTACAAAAGGTCAGAGGCAATCTAGTAGAAGTAGGATCCTTTGCATTTACGCTAAGCATGACAGCAGAACTGAGATTACGAAGTACAATATCTACTATATCATTGGATATCAAAATAACATCAGATTTAGGAATTGAAAACTTTGGAAGAATTTTATTTACATCCTCAATGTCAGAATTTGCTCTGGGATGTTTGCCAGCTATGCTACATTTCAAAGTGGGTGTGGAAAATGAGAGATTATTCTGGTTGAGTGTTTTTTCATAAATATCACATAAGACACTTTCAATGGTATCTTGCATTTGAAACTGAAGTACTTTTCGATACTCAATCTTATTAAACAGCTTTTCAATAATACCTTCTTGCTGATCTGAACTGATCTCTTTGTCAGAACTGTTCTTGTCACATTTTCCTTTGGATGATACAATATCTAACACTGTGTTAACAATTTGACTTGTAATACTTTCAGAAACCACAATATTATTCATTAAGAAAGGAGTTTCCTTCTCTTTATCTAATTCATTTTTGATTCCTTTTAAAATTTTTCTGGCCACTTCTGTTGCATATGTATTTAATTTGTCCAAAGAGACCAGACAAAATGAGTTAGTGTTTTGTGACATAACATTATCCACTGAGCAAGAGGAAAACTGACCCTCAGAATACAAATCTTTGGTTGACAAAGCTTTGCTTAATGTACTCTTATCCTGTTGAACAGGTAAGGCCATTGGAACTGTGAAGTTGATTTGGGGACAAAAAAGAGACTGTACTTTGGAAGTAGCAAAAGTTTCTAAACTTGTTAATATTGCCTGCATGATATCTTCAACTATGTTTCCTTTAGCCTGTCTGTCAATATTGAATCTGGACTGAAGAGTATAGGGATTCTTGTTCAGTGCAGTGATGGAGGGTTTTCCTCTTCCATAGGTGTGTTCATGGAAAGAAACATTTGCTGAGAAGGTGATGGTTTTATAGCTATTTTCACTTGCAATTGTCTCTGTCTTAGCAGCTGTATAAAGTTTATCAAATACAGTTGTAACAACATCATCTGCCACTATGGTTACATCTGCTTCAGACACCATCATTTTATCTATAAATGGAAAAGATGTTTGAGCAACTGGCTCACCAACATTGTGAGGGATGTCGCTTAAAAGGGAGTGGGAGAGAGAAAGCATATTTAATTGACTGACCAAAGCATTTTGAAAGATCTCATTCAAAATATTTCTTATAATGGGAACAACTGGAGATTTCTGTGGTTCTTTGAGCTTCACTTCAAGTTTGTTTAAGGTTCTTTCTAGAACCCACTGTTGAAGAGAATCTGATTGAGTTTCTTCTCTTAGTGGTATTCTCTCACCAGTGAATTCTTTCTCTGTGTTTGTAGCATCTTCTAGAAATGAATCTGATTCAGCTCCACCAGGAAGAAAATTTCCATAGATTGGCCTGTATCCATTAGTTTCACTGTCTCTCTCTTCAGGTTCAGTTTCATTAAGCATATCTGAGGATACTGCATCTAAGATTAAACTGACTATATTCTCTAGCATTTGTCTCTCATGTGGTGGTGTTGTCACACTTGTCCTCAAATCTAACGAGTTCATATTTAATTCTGTTTGAATAGCTTTCAAAATAGCACTTGATACTTTCTTTGCATTTGTGTATAAAGCTGACTGCAATAGTTCTTCATGTGTGTCTGTGAAAACTCTGAGGCTTTCACATTCCATGTTCATCTTACTGGTTTTTTTATTTTCATTGTTAGTAGAACCCAGAGTTTCTAAATTTCCATTGGCAAACCCTTCCAGTTTAGCAAAAACCATATTAAGAATATCTGAAGCTACTGCTTTTAGCTTATTTGAATGCATTTCTTTTGCACTCCCTGTTTTGGAAGACTTGGGAGCAATAGGTTTTTCCATGCTTTTAGTCATCTCTTTATTACCCTCTTGAACCATCCTGGAAACTATGCTGGAGATTATTTCAGTGCATTTGGCCATTTCCTCAATAATTGAAGTAAATGATAGGTTGTCAATATCGAGAGGCTCTGAGATAGCTTTACATCCACAACTGACAGAACTAGTATCTGTGTCGACACTACATAATTTTGCAATGATATATTCCAAAATTGTTGTGGAAATGAGCTGAATATTAGACTGCAATTCAGTGGCTCTTTGCTGATTCTTATTGGTCTTCTCTCTGCTTAGCTTAGAACAAGATGGCTGACAGTGAGGGTGAGCCCCTATGAGCTTGCATAACATTTCATAGAGTGTTTCCCCAATATTATCTAACACTTGTAATCTGGAATTCTCTTTGAGATCTTTTCCATTAATGACACTATGGAGAGCACATGGAGTAGCTAAAACTTTGTAAAAAGATTTTTTATCCTGTCTGCTTGTCAAAATGTTCCCTTTATCAACATTATCAGATCCATGTGAAGCTGTTGGCTTTGAGTTATCTGAAGAGAGTGAAATACTGCTTTGATCTGAATGTCCACTTGATAATATTTCACAAATAAAAGTTAATAATGGTGATTCCATGATGTCACCATTGAGATCTGAGACATGAGATTCTAATTTCTTAGTGTCAGTAAAACATCCTTTACCTGTGAGGGATTTGGTATGGTTTCTTTCCCTAAGATTTAGGTTTTTCTCACTGAGTTCTAGTTCACTCTGGATAGCACGCAAAATGATGTTTACCACTTTAGCTGTGTAACTACTAAGTTGAGATTGCAATGAAGATTTCTCTGCAAGTGAAGGTTTGAAGCCCATTTGCAATTTTGGACAAATAAATAACTTCAGCTTTTTAAAAACTGCATTAATGATCTTATCAGTAATTTCATCTGCAGGTTTTGGTTCACTCTCTTCAGATTTTAACAGGGAAGGTTTTGCCAGATCTCCATCGAGTGGAGATAAATATTTCATTTTCTTTTCACTATCGAACCATATTTTTAGTGGCTTTTTATTTGGTGCTGCTTTGACCATGTGGAGAGTGTCAGGACTCTCTAGAGAAGCTGGATGAACTGATGATGAAATTGAACTTTTGGTGGTACTGGGAATGCAGCTTGCCTTATGAAGTATGTTTAATATAGCGTCTGTTATTTCCTGAGCTACTGTACTAATTTCTGACACAGAAAACAGCTGGTCTATCCATTCTTGATGTGATGGTTCTTGAGATTTTTCTGAAACAAGAACTGAAGCTTTGTCAGTTCTACTTTCTAAGTGACCAGGAGGAACAGAAGATATGTCCTTGAGCATTTCTGTTACAATACTTTTAACTGTGTTTTCTGAAGCCTTTTGTATTTGATGCTTTTGATCTTGGCTGAAAAACAGAATGTCTTTATTCAAACAGGGTTTTTCCTTCAAAATTTTTTTATCCTTAAAAAATGGTAACTCAGTCCTTAATCTGCGACTATGAAACACAACTTTGCTTCTTGGAGAAGTAGGCTTTGTAGGTAGTTTGCTATTTCTTTGGTATTCCAGACAAGCATTTCCTTTTGTAAACCAATGCTCAGGAATTTGTTCTTGTGATTTTGCTTTTTCATCTCTGAAAGATGAATCAAGCACATTTTCCACAATTCTGTCTATTTCTTCATTATCATCTTCAGAATAAAGGACCATGCCAGGAACATTAACAGGTGGAAATGGTCTTCCAGACCTAGGGCCATTAGATAATCTAGTGCCAGTGAGTCTGTACTTTACTTCAGTGTCAGAAGGACTTCTCAGTCTAGAATGTCTACATTTTTGATTACTTGCTTTTACTGGTTCCTGATGTAGCTGAGTAAAGATATCATCAAGCAACTTGAGGAGTACTACTGTTTCTTCAGAAGCAATAAGTCTCTCATTATTAAGTTCAGTTTGTACAAATCCTAGTATAGTGCTGATTACTTCCTCTATATAGCCAACCAAAGAGGACTGGGAAAGAATATTTGACATTAAATTTTGTATCTTTTCTTTAACAATTAAATTAGCTGCATCAAGTTCAGGATTACATTTCTTTTTGTCGGCTTTTATATGGTGCATACATGTTGGGTCTGCCACATGTTGCTGATAGGAAAGTTTAGTTGCCTCTTCAAGATGAGGAAGCTCATTTTGCTTACGAGCTGTAAGAGTCATCAGCTTTTCTAAAATGGCATGCACCATATCCTCTGCAACATCACACATGGGTTCCGCAGTAGAAGGCACTGAAGCTATTAAAGGTTTTTCATATGATAGAGTGAGAGATTCTCCACTGGGTGTTAGGCTTGGTTGAATGTTGACTGACAAATCTTGTGAATATATCTGGACACATTTTTTCTCAACTGCAGACTGTAGCTTCTCAAGCATATTTTCCACAATTTCTGAAGCTACTGAGCAGATATCAGCATTGGAAACCAAGTCTCCTCTTATAGGCTCACTTTGGTCAACAAAAACTTCAGCAGTAACAGAAGAAATAGAGGGAATGGCATGTGTTAAATCAGACATTATTTCTTGAAAAATGCTTTCCAAAATCAATTCAGTTTCCCCTTTTAAGTGACACTTAAAGTTAACAAAAACATTCTTTAAACTCTTCATTTCATTCATGGCTTTTGCTTTTTGATCAGAAAACAATGGATTCTCTAAACCATCTGTTTCAGTGGTGGCATCCTTTGATTTTTTTGGGCCTGTTTCAAGTGATGCTAGAAGATGACTATCAGATTTACAACTTCTGAGGTCAGGGTATGTATATACCATGCTTGTTTCATTATATTTTAGTCCATTTGTTACAGATTGTCCTGTAATGTGACATGTTTCTCCCACAACTGCTTTTTCCACATGGGCAGATGGCTTTAATGGTGTGGTTGGTCTCCTTACTGATATGTCAACTGCAAATGCACAGGGCTGTCTCTTAAATGATTTAGTTGTTGCAGAAGTGTAGCTTCCATATGTAAACTCTTCACTGCATGTGCTACAAAAACTTGAACTATCTGAGGAGAGGAAAGAGTCATCAGACACTGGATATGTATTATTTTTCAACCTTTCTTCATACTTTGTGATGGCTGGGTATAATATGCTGGTAACTGTAGCCACAACCCAGGTCATTATATTCTGAATTATGCTATTCAGTTCTTCAGAAGTTACCTGGTTTGAGGCAAGCAGGAATGAAAAGAAAATCATTTAACTATCTACTCTATGATGCAACAGAAGGTAATATTTGATGTTTTATATCAAACAATGCTGATTCAAATAGCTTGATACCATCATGGTAATAAAGAGAACATGGTAAATATATATATTTAGAATTTCAAATTAATTTCAAGTTGGTTTATTCTCTACTAAAGTTAAAAAAAATATAAGTTTCCATTTGGCTCCCATTCCCTCAGAACATTTTTACTTATTTATTTTTTCCTAACATTTATGGCTGGGATAAAAGAATTTTTGGTTAAAAAGAAAGAAAATGAAAAATCACTAGATTGCTGTCTAGGCACATTATATTACATGCATGTATTTTATAAAGAAGGAACATAGTGTCTACAACCTAGCAAAATTATTTTAAAATGATCCAGGTTATTTCTAACAAATTATTTCTCAAACAGATATGGTCAAAACATTTGGGTGCCTTCAGAGGCATCTGTCTAGCTAAGAGTAAGGATGGAAAAGAAGCCAGCTCTCCTCTCATTCCCTGATGCAGAGGTAAGCCTGTGATTTGTTTACAGGGAAAGGACTACAGCTAATTGGTAAGAATCTAATAAACAAACAAACAAAAAAAAGTTCATGCTTTATGGAGATTGCATGAGTTTGTATCTAACAAGATAGTATCAATGGAAACTGTCATAGAAGGCAAAGAAAAGGTGATACAGTGAAGGAACAAATGAGTTTAGATAGAAAATAAGGGAGGCTAGAATTGCATCTCAAAGAGTAAAGAGGGTTGAGCAAGGATAGGTTTAGAGAATCCCTCCTTTTGAGCTTGATATAAAACCTCAGGGACGAGATTTGAATGACCATTTCCTTAGTGGTCAATGGTACTATCCTATGTTTAAGTTTGGGCTTTCCAGATAGCTCAGTTGATAAAGAATCCACCTGCAATGCAGGAGACTCTGGTTCGATTCCTGGGTCAAAAAGATCTGCTGGAGATGTGATAGGCTACCCACTCCAATATTCTTGGGCTTCCCTTGTGGCTCAGCTGGTAAAGAATCTGCCTGCAATGTAGGAGACCTGGGTTCGATCCCTGGGTTGGGAAGATCCCCTGGAGAAGGGAAAAGCTACCCAGTCCAGTATTTTGGCCTGGAGAATTCCATGGACTGTATGGGGTCACAAACAGTCAGACATGACTGAGTGCCTTTCACTTACTTAAAGTTAGACTAAGAGCCTCAGTAACAGAATCCATCTGTTTCTATATACTTCTGCTTGTGTACTGAAAACATACTTTGGATTTGTACTTATAAAAATCCTCTTGCCTATAATAAACTAATCAGTTCAGTTCAGTCGCTCAGTCATGTCTGACTCCTTACGACCCCGTGAATCGCAGCATGCCACGCCACCCTGTCCATCACAAACTCCCGGAGTTTACTCAAACTCATGCCCATCGAGTCAGTGATGCCATCCAGCCATCTCATCCTCTGTCGTCCCCTTCTCCTCCTGCCCCCAATCCCTCCCAGCATCAGGGTCTTTTCCAATGAGTCCACTCTTCACATGAGGTGGCCAAAGTATTGGAGTTTCAGCTTCAGCATCAGTCCTTCCAATGAACACCCAGGACTGATCTCCTTTAGGATGGACTGGTTGGATCTCCTTGCAGTCCAAGGGACTCTCAACTAATAGTCTGTTCAAAATTGTTATGACTCTTAAAACAAAAACTAGCAAACCTAAGTAACTGGCAGCAAAGCCTGGAAAGCTGTCATGTGGGCAGGAGAATAAAAAAAAAAAATAGGATTTCTGTAATGGGGCTGTTCACACCCAAAATACTGCCTTAAGTTAGCACAGAAAGCAGAGACATCACTTTGGTGACAAAGGTCAGTATAGACAAAGCTATGGTTTTTCCAGTAGTAATATATGGATGTGAGAATTGGATCATAAAAAAGGCTGAGTGATGAATAATTGATGCTTTCAAATTGTGGTGCTGGAGAGTCCCTTGGACGGCAAGGAGATCAAACCAGTCAATCCTAAAGGAAGTCATCCCTGAATATTTATGAGAAAGACCTATGCTGAAGCTCCAATACTCTGGCCAACCTGATGTGAAGAGCCGACTCCTTGGAAAAGACCCTGATACTGGGAAAGACTGAGGCAGGAAGACAAGGGGGCAACAAAGGATGAGATGGTTGGGTGGCATCACTGACTCAACAGACATGAGTTTGAGCAATCTCTGGGAGATAGTGAAGGACAGGGAAATCTGGCGTGCTGCAGTCCATGGGGTCACAGAGTTGGACACGACTTAGCAACTGAACAACAAGCACACAGTTATACCCATATTAGGCCAACAATCAAAGATAAGTTAACACCTCTGCAGCATACTCTCTTTTGACACATGGTGTTTGGGGGCACTCCAGGGAAAGCCATTATATTCTGCTCTAATCCTTGAATCTTCTCATACATTTTGCATTCATTATACAACATCCAAAACATTATATAACATCCAAAATGAAATGTTTTGAATAAAAACAATTTATTATAATCTACTATGACATATAAACTGAGACATTCAATATATATATTGCTTTTTGCTTTTCTTACTACCAGAGATCATAAATGATAGAACTACATTATTATTCTTAGGCTAAGTATGACATATGAAAGAAAGCTATTCCTAACATGTTTTGTTCTTAGGTGATTAGGTCCCTTCCCACGAAACTGACTCGGGACAAATCCAGGCATCCCAACTCATGAGCTGAGTCTGCAAAGTGATATGTAGTGGCTTCCCATGAAAGAATGGGTTTATGGTTATTTGACACTATTATTATAATGGCTAGGTCCCTGAATGCTCCTCCCCTGACTTCCTGCCCATCTCCATGAGACCTCTTCCTGAATGGGCAAAATTATCTTTTTATGAGAACCTTACTGCAAAATCTAAGAATTAACTGAAAGTGAACTTTAAAGAAGAAAAAATGGGCAAAGAGGGACATTAATATTAGTAAATGATTGCATAGTTTTTTTCTACTATGAAACATTTAAAATTATCATTAATATGCTGCTTTATCAATGAGTTTTATGATACATACTTTTTCTTGCAAGTAGTTTTGTAGGAGATGTTGTTTTCTGTAAAGTCAAGAAAGGTTGATAATTTTGTTATTTAGGGTCAAGAATTTATGTAGCTTTTTCCAAAACTTATAATCACTGAAGCAGTTTTTTTCTCTTTATATCTGAAAGAATTTTTTAACAGAAATTCAGAAGAATAAACTGTATTTCCATCCCCCACCACCTGTTTCTCTTCCTTCTTTGATACTGGCCCATATGTCTTAATACTCAGAAGCAGAATTATAGTTGTTGCAGAAAAATGTCTATTTGAAAATTCTACTTCTGACTCACCTTAGACATTCCTGCTGTGTGGTCCTCTGAGAAAGGACACAGACTTGGAGGGAGAAGGTAAGCTAGTCCTTCATGTTTGCTAAAAGGCAGCATGAAGTGGCAAGACACTTGACCAGAGCTTCAGATAATCCTTTACTTACCCTTTCAAATCCCATAGTTTTACTCATGCTTTCATCAAACAGCAAGGAATTATGTGATAACTATTCAATAACCATGGGTTAAAATAATACATTTATAACCCTCTTAAATACAAATTTAGATGTAGCCCTTTTCTATGTATGACAATATTCTATCATTTATTCTAGTCAGATTTTTATTATGATAATGAAGTCAACAATGCAATTTTCTCACTGGTAACAAGAACTCAATGAAAATTATAGAACAGTTAATAAAACAAAATCTAAGATTTAGTTCTTACTTATTTTTGTATATTTCAGGTGTTGATTTTCATGTATTTCAATATAGGCCCTTTGCTTATCTTTTTCCTAATTACTTATAAAAAAATTGATACACCTTTTTTACTTTTTCTAGTCCTGTACTTTACATTATAAAATCAGGCACTGAGTTTGTGTTGGGTGATGAGACATTGAGTTTGCAGTGATGAGACATGGGCTCCTGCTCCAACAGCAATGAGTGTCTCTGACCTGTGAGGTCACATGCAAAGGAAACAGATTTGGAATGAACTCAGTGTTCACTTGCTCATAAACTGGATTCTCCCAAGATCTCTGGAGAACATGTATACAGTTAAATAGATGCTTTCAGAAGGGTGATGAGATGGCAGAGTAGAAGGACTTGAGCTTATCTTCTCTCACAAAAAACACCAAAGAGGCAACTAACTGCTGAACAATCATCAAAAGAAAAGACTAGATCTATGAGAAAAAAGGTATTCTACATCTAAAGACATAGCAGAAGCCACAATGAGACAGTAAGTGTGCTTCTGTGAGATAATCAAATCCCATATACACTGGGTTGGTGACCCACAGACTTGAAACATTGCAGTTTCTCCCAGAGGTCTGAGAGTTCTGAGCCCCACGTCAGGCTCCCCTGCCTAGGGGTCTAGCATCACAAGTAGGAGACCCCACGTAATTTGGTTTAAAGGCCAGGAGGGCTTGACTGCAGAAGCCCCAGGACTAGGGTAAACAGAGACTCTACTCTTGGAAGGTGCATGCAAGGTTTCACATGCACTAGGACCCAGAACAAGGCAGTATCCCCATAGGAACCTGGGCCAAACCTACCTGTGGGTCTTGAAAGGTCTCCTTGGAGTTGGTGGAAGTCCCAGGGAATATTCCTCGGTGTGAGCTCTCCAGGAGGTCACCATTTTGGCACTGAGAGTTGGCCCTATCCAACAGCCTTCAGGCTTCAGTGCTGGATACCTCAGGCCAAACAACCAACAAGATGGGAACACAGCCCCACTCATCAACAGAGAGGCTGGCTAAAATTGTCCTGAGCCCCGTGGCAGGGCCCTGTCCACCACGGGCACAAAATCCAGCACCACCCACCAGTGGGCAGGTACCAGTCCCTCCCAACAGGAAGACTGCACAAGCCCCTAGACTGACTTCACTCACCAGAGACAGACAGCAGAAGCAAGAACTATGATCCTACAGCCTGTGGAACACAAACCACAAACACAGAAAGTGAAACAAAATGAGCCATCAGAGAAATATGTTCTAGATGAAGAAACAAGATGAAACCCCAGAAGAACAAGTAAGTGATGTAGAGATAGGTAATCTACCTGAAAGAAAATAGAGAATAATGTTAGCAAAGATGATCCAAGATCTTGGAAAAAGAATGGAGGTATACACTGAGAAGATTTAAAAAATGTTTAGAAAGCACTAGAAGATTTAATGAACAGAGATAAAATAACTAAAATAAAAAATACACTAGAAGGAATCAATAGCAGAATAAATGAGGCAGAAGGATAAATAAGTAAGTTGGAAGACAGACTGGTGGAAATCACTGCTGCAGAACAAATAAGGAAAGAAGAATGAAAAGAAATGACAGTCCAAGTGATTTCTGGGATATTAAACACACCAACACTCCAATTACAGGGGTCCCAGGAAGAGGAGAAAGGGCCTGGGAAGGTATCTGAGAAGACAATAGCTGGAAAAATCCCTAACATGGGAAAGAAAACACTCAGGTCCAGGAAGTGCAGAGTCCCATATGGAATAAACACAGGGAGGAGTGCACAGAGACACATACCAGACTGATAAAACTTTAAGACAGAGAAAATAATTAAAGCAGCAAGGGAAAAGCAACAAATAACTTACAAGGGAATCTGCATAAGGTCATTAGCTGATTTGTCAGAAGAAACTCTGTAGTCAGAGGGAGTGGCATGATATATTTAAAGTAACAGATGGGAAAAACCCACAAGCAAGAATACTCCACCCAACAAGGCCCTTGTTCACAATTGAAGGAGAAGTCAAGAGCTTTACAGACAAGCAAAAGCTAACAGAATTCAGTACCATCTAACCAGCTTTAGGTGCAACAGAATGGGAAAGACTAGAGATCTCTTCAAGAAAATCAGAGATACCAAGGGAACATTTCAGGCAAAGATGGGCTTGATAAAGGGCAGAAATGGTATGGACCTAACAGAAGCAGAAGATATTAAGAAGAGGTGGAAAGAATACACAGGAGAACTGAACAAAAAAGATCTTCATGACCCAGATAATCACGATGGTGTGATCACTTACCTAGAGCCAGACATCCTGGAATATGAAGTCAAGTAGGCCTTAGAAAGTATCACTACAAACAAAGCTAGTGGAAGTGATGCTATGTCAAATCCTGAAAGATGATGCTGTGAAAGTGCTGTACTCAATATGTCAGCAAATTTGGAAAGCGGAGCAGTGGTCACAGGACTGGAAAAGGTCAATTTTCATTCCAATCCCAAAGAAAGCTCAAACTATCACACAATTGCACTTATCTCACACACTAGTAAAGTAATGCTCAAAATTCTCCAAGCCAATCTTCAGCAATATGTGAACCATGAACTTCTAGATGTTGAAGCTGGTTTTAGAAAAGGCAGAGGAAGCAGAGATCAAATTGCCAACATCTGCTGGATTATCGAAAAAGCAAGAGTTCCAGAAAAACATCTATTTCTGTTTTATTGACTATGCCAAAGCCTTTGATTGTGTGAATCACAATAAACTGTGGGAAATTCTGAAAGAGATGGGAATACCAGACCACCTGACCTGTCTCTTGAGAAACCTGTATGCAGGTCAGGAAGAAACAGTTAGAACTGGACATGGAACAACAGGCTGTTTCCAAATAGGAAAAGGAGTATGTCAAGGCTGCATATTGTCACCCTGTTATTTAACTTATATGTAGAATACATCATGAGAAACGCAGGGCTGGAAGAAGCAAAAGCTGGAATCAGGATTGCCGGGAGAAATATCAAAAACCTCAGATATGCAGATGACACCACCCTTATGGAAGAAAGTGAAGAAGAACTAAAGAGCCTCTTGATGAAAGTGAAAGAGAGTGAAAAAGTTGGCTTAAAGCTCACCATTCAGAAAACTAAGATCATGGCACCTGGTCCCATCACTTCATGGGAAATAGATGGGGAAACAGTGGAAACAGTGTTGACTTTATTTTTCTGGGCTCCAAAATCACTGCAGATGGTGACTGCAGCCATGAAGTTAAAAGACGCTTACTCCTTGGAAGGAAAGCTATGACCAACCTAGATGGCATATTAAAAAGCAGAGACATTACTTTGCCAACAAAGGTCTGTCTAGTCAAGGCTATGGTTTTTCCAGTGGTCATGTATGGATGTGAGAGTTGGACTGTGAAGAAAGCTGAGTGCTGAAGAATTGATGCTTTTGAACTGTGTTGTTGGAGAAGACTCTTGAGAGTCCCTTGGACTGTAAGGAGATCCAACCAGTCCATTCTAAAGGAGATCAGTCCTGGGTGTTCACTGGAAGGACTGATACTGAAGCTGAAACTCCAATACTTTGGCCACCTCATGTGAAGAGAGGACTTATTGGAAAAGACCCTGATGCTGGGAGGGATTGGGGGCAGGAGGAGAAGGGGACGACAGGGGATGAGATGGCTGGATGGCATCACCAACTTGATGGACATGAGCTTGAGTAAACTCCGGGAGTTTGTGATGGACAGGGAGGCCTGGCGTGCTGTGGTTCATGGGGTCACAAAGAGTTGGACACGACTGAGCGACTGAACTGAACTGAAGCTGGATCTTATTTGGGTAATTGCTTTCTTTTTTTTTTTAAAGGTAACAGTGTTGGGTCTAAAATGATAGTCTCTCAGCTCTAACACCGAGAAAGCCTTATCTAAATACCAACAGAAACTGATCACCACCAGTTTGAGGAATAAAAACCCCTGAGGTACACCAAATCTCTTTTTCAAAGTCTGGCAAGTTCCATCACTAGAGATTATTATTTTGGATTATATGGCAAACACATTCTAGGGTAAGAATGACTAATTAAAAATTTAAAAATTAAAACTAATCTACCATATTTAGGAAGTCTGTAATCTCAAAAGGTTCAAGGAAAGGTAAATGTTTAAAAGGGGATAAAGGCAAAGAGATAAGTCTAGATTCTGGAAAGCTACCTGAAGAGAAGAGGTCATATTTGAAAGTGGCATGAAGACTCTAAATATAGGGTGAGTGTAGAGCCACAGTGGGGTAAGGAAATAGAGAAGGAATTGGAACAATATTCACTTGTCTACTTTACAATTTAACCTTAGTGATGAGAATTTGCAAAATATATCAGTTCACTAAATCTAAGTAGAACTACAATGGAGGATCCCATACAATTATTTGCTTTTTAACATCACTCATGTACTTCTTAGAATATTAATTTATAATTATATATTAACATTCTTAGATACTTACGAATTTGAGAAAACACAAGAAGGGAAGATACCGTGGGCTGTGGCAGGAGCCTGAAGTCCTATTTAGCAGAAAAAGAACAATTAGTTTGCATCCTTCCCTTAAAATGGCAATTCATGTCCTTTAATAGGTCTTTTTTCTGTTATCAGTCTTGTTTAAAAGCCTCCAGGGACTCTCCACAATGAAATCTAAATTCCTTAGCAAGGCATAAGATATATCGTAAAATCTGATGTTCTTTCTTAGCTCTCTAGTGTCCTCACTGGCAAGTCTTCCATATATACTCTATGAATCAGAGGCACAGAATTACTTACTTCTTAAGTGTATCATATTTTCCATGCCTCTGGGCCCTTGTTTTGCCATTTCCTCTGTCTGGAGCACCCTATGTCCTCTTTTAACTTATCTTTTTGGTCTCATTCAGCTTATGTTAACTCTTCTAGAAAGACTTCTTTGGAACTAAGTAAATGAATATTGGGACTTGCCTCATAGCTCAGCTGTTAAAAAGTCTGCCTGCAATGCAGGAGACCTGGGTTCAATTCCTGGGTTGGGAAGATCCCCTGGAGAAGGAAATGGCAAGCCACTCCAGTATTCTTGCCTGTAGAATCCCGTGGACACAGGAGCCTGGTGGGCTCCCGTCTATGGGGGCGCAAGAGCTGGACATGACAGAGCAGCTAAGCACACACAGCGTGGACACTCTGCTCCAGTGCTCCTAGAGCGTTCTGCCGGCCCCACTGTAAACTGACTGTGCTGCGCTGAGACTGAAGGTCTGCTCTTCTGTCCTCCTGAGTATGATAGAAATCCAACCCTACATCCCCAACATTCATTTTTTGAGAATACTATTAATGTTTCCTCGAAATTTATTCATTGATTTGTTGGCCATTAGTCTTCTCTCACTCAAATGCCATCTAATTTGCCTTGTATATAATGTAGTAAGATTCCATTACTGGGTTTTGTTAAGTTGGTGCAAAAGTAATTGCGGTTTAACATTGTTTGATCGTGGAATCCATTCTTAAATAAATGTGGTTATAACTGATATACATCCTTTCAATGCACATTTCTCACTTTATTTTTTTTTTTTGCTAATTGTTACTTGCTGCTTATTTTAGACTATAAAAATGATGTTAGATAAAAAGCAAATTGGAGCAATTTTCTTATTTGAGTTCAAAATGGGTCATAAGGCAGGGGAAACAATTCACAACAGCAACATGTATTTGACTCAGGAACTGCTAATGAATGTACACTGCAGTAGTAGTGGTTCAAGAAGTTTTGCAAAGGAGATGAGAGCTTTGGATGAGGAGCATAGTGGCTGGCCATTGGAAGCTGACAACCACCAATACAGAGCAGTCATTGAAGCTGACCCTCTGAACAATGACATGAGAAATTGCCAAAGAACTACATTCTACAGCCATTCGGCATTTGAAGCAAATTGCAAAGGTGTAAAACCTTGAAAAGTGAGTGCCTCATGAGCTGACCACAAATCCAAAGATCATTGTTTTGAAGTGTCATCTTCTCTTATTCTGCACAAAACAATGAACCATTTCTCTATCAGAGTGTGACATGTGAAGAAAAGTGGATTTCATACAACTGTCAATGACCAGCTCAACGGCTGGACGAAGAAGCAGCTCTGAACCACTTCCCAAAGTCAAACTTGCATCAAAAAAAAAAAAGTGATGGTCATTGTTTGGTGGTCTGATGAACTTCTGATTCACTACAGCTTTCTGAATCCCAGCGAAACCATGACATCTGAGAAGTATGCTCAGGAAATCGATGAGATGCACGAAAAACTGCAACACCTGCAGCTGGTATTGGTCAACAGAATAGGCCCAATTCTTATTCACAACAACACCCAGCTGCAATTATCCTCCACAACAATGCCCTACTGCACAACACACAACCAATACTTCAAAAGTTGAATGAATTAGGCTATGAAGTTTTGCCTCATCTGCTATATTCACCTGACCTCCTGCCAACTGACTGCCACTTCAAGCATCTTGACAAGTTTTTGCAGGGAAAATGCTTCCATAACCAGCAGGAGACAGAAAATGCTTTCCAAGAGTTCATTCAATCCTGGAGCATGGATTTTTGCACTACAGAAATAAACCAACTTATTTCTTATTGGCACAAATGTGTTGATTATAATGGCTCCTATTTCGATTAATAAAGATGTGCTTGAGCCTAATTATAATGATTTAAAATTCATGGTCTGAAACCGCAGCTGCTTTTGTACCAACCTAATAGTAAAGATTCTGGATACAGGTGACAGGGAGTTTTTACATACATCTCTACAGGCACAGTGGATTTAGTGTTTGTTAATTATGCAAATGTAGAAATGAATAAAAATTTTAGACAAAAAGAATGTGTTGGATACAGAAAAGTATTAGTAATTAGAGCCTGTTCAAAGTCAAGTTTAAGTGGTAATTCTTGTTTCTCCCAATGAATGAGTAACAAATAGGTAACAATGATGTATATAAAAAGTCTTACTTAAATCCTATGGACCTTTTTGAGTTTGTGTAGATATATTTGTTGTGTGTGTTCAGATTTTGAGAAGTAGTACTTCAATTTAAGATTTCATATAACTGAGAAATTAAGTGTGAGGATAATACAATTTTAAAAGCAAAATAAAAGAAAAAAACTCTTCTATGGTTTTCATTAATATGCTGTAGTAAATTGAAATATTTTCCTAGAATTCTGTATAAAACATTATAGCTATCTTCTTTAAAATGCTAAGGTTTCAAGTAGGAAAGAGAAGTCTTTTAGAGTAAAAAACTGGGGGAACATAAATATAGAACTATAAGGAAATGTTGAAGCTGATACCTGCCCTCTGCCCATCGGCCGTCACTGCAAACTTAATGGAGAGCCAGGGAATTAAAATATATCAGGCTCAAGTCATATGGGAAATTGAAACCTAGAGCTTATAAAAACAAATTGGATTCCACAGAGCTACACGCTTGGTGAAAGAGCTGTCTTTAAAAAAAATTTGTGGCACAGAGATGCACATGATACCAAGGTAGAAACACATTATGCCTTGGTATCAGTGTGGAAGAGGGAGAAAAGGAGAAAATAAAAATATATCTTAATAATTCACAACCACAGATTATCTCTTATGTGATTTTCAGGTGTAAATTCACTTTATGGTCTGCAAACCTCCAAATGAGAAATTAATTTAAAATGAACCTGTTCTTATAGCTCTCCCAGATGCCTAGAAGTATATTAAAAAATTAACAGCTTTACTGAAGTATAATATTCCAAGAGCTGTACATATTTAATGTGCACAGTTTGAGTTTCTACATAGTAATACATCCTATCAAAATATAGAATTCTGTCATAAATGAGCTAATATGTAACAACACATCCCTGTCATACACATAGACAAATTAAAAAAAAAATCAATGTGCCTTTTATCAGGAAAAAGAAATATTAAAATTAGACCTCAAAGATTTCATATATCTGAATTATCAGATATATAAAATATATGCATTTCATATGTTTAAATACATAAAGAAGTAATTGGAAATCATAGAACCTATCAAAAAAATCCAGTCAAATCTGGAAAATGAGAAATTTTATAACATATAAAATATACTTTACATATTAAAATATATTATATATTAAATAAATACAAAGTACATATTTATAATATGTAAAATGTATATGTTTATTCTATAAACTAAAAGTGTATTGAATTAATGTAATAGTAAAATAGATATAACTGAAGAGAGAATGGTTGAAATTGAAGACAAACTCAAGAAATTAACCAGAATGCTATAGAGAGAAATGGAAAATACAGTGGTTTTTAGAGGATGTAGAAGTAGAAAGGGAAATACAGACACACAGACACATGCATACATACATACATACATACATATTTGGAATTTTAGGAGAAAAAAAATAAAATGAGAAGAGGTAATATAGGAGAGAAATATAGCTGATACATATCTGGAACTGCTCATCATAGTGATACTAAAGTGCAGCAAGATCTTAAAAGCAGCCTGTGGTGTGGTGTGTGTGGCAGGGGGTGGGAAGGTCAGGGAGATGGATGATCACTCTTTGATTACATGAAATTAAGTAGAATGGAATGTAGATCATTTAAGTAGAACAATCTTCTTAAAGTGTTAAAAAAAAACACTGAGAACTGGTATACCCAGCCATAATTAATTAAATCCTATAACAAATAAAATACAGTTCTATCAAATAAAATCAGAGTTTACTAACAAAATATATTCATTTATAACATTTCTAAAGAACTGATATACTTTAGGAAGAATGAAGGTGATTCCATAAAGTATGAAATGCAAAAAGGAATGATGAACAACAACAAAATGATAAATATGAGTAAATATAAATACAACTTGACTGTATGAAAAAGAGGAAAGTAGTTTAATTTTGAATGCTTTACTTGATAAATTATTAGAGAAATATGAGATTGTGATTAGAAGTAAAATATACCCACTTTGAAATATTCTAACTTTATGTATATGTGTTAAAATTTAAGGATAATTGTCAAAAGAAATATACATTTTCAAAACAGTAGAGAGAAAACTATTTAAAATACATTTAATATTCTAAAAGAAAGGAGGAAATAATAAATTAAAACTATATATATTATGCTTAATTTAAACACATATATTATGCATATATTAAAAAGGAGAATCAACTTCAAGCAAAGGAAGGAAAAATCTCCCAAAGATCTATAATTAACATAAATGTAACTAGTTTACTTCAGTTAAAAGTCAGAAATGCTAATACTGAATAACATGAAGGAAAATCCAGAAATATTTTTAAGAGCTACATCTAAACATTAAAGATCGAAAGTGTATACAACTATATTAATATTAGACAAGGTGAATTTAAAACAGAAAGTATGACTCATGATAAAGGTCACTACACAATATAAGAGACTCAGTTTACCAAGATAAACCTGGATATGGCCCAGATGTTCAAGCTGGGTTTAGAAAGGACAAAGGAACCAGAGATCAAATTGCCAACATTTGTTGGGTCATCAAAAAAGCAAGAGAGTTCCAGAAAAACATCTACTTCTGTTTTATTGACTCGGTCAAAGCATCT